GAACACGGACTTTACCTAGACAAAGTAGGACATCAACGTTCCATTTCCTGATATTTACAAGCGCACTGTGGTTCCGGAAGAAAAAGTCCTTGTCCTTAGGACATACATGTTGTAGTACTTAAGGGTCATGTCTCCACTAATAACGCAAATGATCGGTTGGGGGGGAGGATGTCTTATGGGGGGAGAGGGAAGAGGTAGCAGGAAGGAAGGAGAAGAGAAAGGTGACAAAAATGACAATGTGGGAGCTATGAAGACATCCTATAAAGCCTATGGACACTGCCCACCATAGGAAGGAAATAAAACCAGAATCTACCTTACACCATATTCAAAACTGAACTGAACAACCTGAATGAGAAAGGTAAAACTATGCAGTGAAAACAGTCGCTGGGATCCTGACTTAGGAACCAGAGGATTCAGAAAGCACAGACCGTGAGACAAAAAGGTGATAAGGTGATTAGTTTTAGCAAACACCACCCCCCCCCACCCCCCCCCACACCCCCCCCCCCCCCCCCCCCCCCGCAACCAGGAGCAGGTAGCCATCCTTGGGGGATCATTAAGCACAATGCAGGAGGCTTATCCTTTGGTGCCTCTGGGACCAATTAGAAGCGAAGCGCTAATACACACATGGCAGTCCAGACAGAGCTTCGAACAAACTCAGTGCTGAGTTACACCAAGTTCAGGGGGAAAGGAAGCTTGTGTCATTTGTGTAAAGCGAAGACACAGACAACTCCAAACAACACAAGATATTTTCCAACACGACAGAGAAGCTGCCCACAGCCATGGGAACTGGGAGTAAAAAGGGAAAGAGAAGGCAAGAGAAGGCCTTTGTACTGACCCACTGGGAACCAGACAAGCACGGTGAACTCAAACTCTGCATCTGAGGGCCTTTCAAAGGCCGAAAAAGAAAGCCAGTGGCTTTATTTGGTAAGAAAGCCTGAAGCAGGCAAGTTATGTCACCTACTCATACTCAGAGCCGCCACAGAGCATTTGCAGCGAATCCCATCCCAGATCAAATGCCTTTCAAAAGACATTTTTCAACGAAGGTCAAGACGAAATCGCACTTCTCAATATGGGCTCACTTTTCAGAAAACAAAATATTATAATTCCACTTTTTTTGTTTGTTAATCCTCGCCCGAGGATATTTTTCCATTGATTTTTAGAGAGAGTGGACGGGAGGGGAAGAGACACAGAGAGAGATGAGGGAGAGACACATTTGATTGGCTGCCTCCCACATGCACCCCGACCAAGGCCACGGATTGAGCCTGCAACCAAGGTACATACCCTTGCCCAGAATCAAACCCAGAACCTTCAGTCCACGGGCCACCGTTCTAACCACTGAGCCTAACTGTCCAGGGCTAATTCTATATTTTTAAAAGGTCCTGGTGGTAGAAGAAGACCTTTGTAGGACATTAAAAATCATTTTTTCCTGACTTTTCATAAACCTACTGATAGAGTTAGGTCCGCTTTCCTATGTAACCCTAAAACGTAAAGACCAAATCACCTGCATGGGAAGAAGCTGGGGTGATGAGGGGATGGTGAGGGTATGGCCTGGGAACTCTGAAGTTTATCAGTGTTCCCAGTATTTCTTGTTCTTCCAGAGTTTAAAAATAACTGTGAGAGAGTGGCCATTCCAAGGCAAGTATCAAGCCAGCTTCAGCCCACTCTGTCCCTGCAATCTCCCACCATCTGACTCGGCCTGCCCCATACTTGTCCCGGCAAATTCCTGGCGCTGCAGGCACCACGCTCATCCCCCACTTCAACCCGGAGCTACAGCTCACACCTCTACCGAGCCCACAGGCACGTACAAGCCATGGCCCATCTCTGCCTCCCCCCCCCCCACAGTGGCTGCTCAGACCTTGGCAAATGGCACCATATACTATCTGGGTCCCCCAAACTAGAAACCTCTCTCTCTCCCTCTCTCTCTCTCTTAAATATTTTATTGATTTTTTTACAGAGAGGAAGGGAGAGGGACAGAGAGCCAGAAACATGGATGAGAGAGAAACATCGATCAGATGCCCCCTGCACACTCCCCACAAGGGATGCACCCGCAACCAAAGTAAGTGCCCTTGACCGGAATCGAACCCGGTACCCTTCAGTCCGCAAGCCAATGCTCTATCCACTGAGCCAAACTGGTTTCAGCTAGAAGCCTCTCTTGATCCCTTCCAACCCTCACAACCAACTGTGGCACCAGCCAACTGTTTCGGAACCACCTGTACACTGTGTGGTCTCCGTTGTGAGTCTCCTTCACCATGGCACTCCCAGAGCCTGGCACATGGTGCTGGCTCCCACTGGCCCCTCCTGGATCCCTTCTCACATGGGGATGGGCCTGGGCTGTCTGGTCACTCACCGTCTTTCATACTCCATGTCCTGATAGGACCTTCGGGGGCTGCTGGAGCCCCTCCTCAGCCGCTGGCTCCGTTTCACTTCCCAGTCACTCCCGCTGCTGTCACCATCGTCTGCCAGCCTGGGCGATGCCTCCTGCAAGGACTCTGGGGAGAGAGGCAGGAGGAAAGCGGTCAGAGCAGGCGGGGCAGAGAGGGCCTCCTGGAGAAACCCCTGTTGTCAAGGCCCTCCGCTGTCTCTTGGTCCAGGGACTGTGTCTCTCAATGCCAGTGCTCCTGTGGCCAGGGGGGGGGGTGCAGCCCCTCCTGGGTCTGCTCCGCTCCCCTCCCCACAGATGTGAGGCTAGAGCTCACGCCCCTGGAACGAGGGGCAAGGCCTGCAGCAGACACGGAGCATCCTGCAGAGAGAGACCCGGTGGCATCACCCATTCTGTGATCAGAGCTTGACACCTGAAACTGGTAGGCACGTTCAAAGCCGGAGCTCCCTGCCCGCGAGGGCTCTGGGTGCTGGATGGCGTTGGCGATCAGGCACAGTAGGCATGGGGGCGAGGCTTCAAGGAGCAGTCCCAACTGCCCGGGTGCCCCTTCAGCCTCCCAACAAGAGGCTGGCTGCCGGCAGCAGACCAGGGAAGGCTGAGGGGGCGAAGGGGCCAGCTTGGCAATGAGACAGCCGCCGGTCCCCGGGCTCCTGGCCAGCACGGCTCCGGCCCTCCCAGGGCCATGGCTCAGCTCTCTCCCCCCAGGGTGCCGGGCCCGTTAACCAGAGGCCAAAGGGGCCCTTGGGGCGGCTGTTCCCAACCACTGTGCTCTTCCCTCAGAAGGGCAGTCATTTCACCCAACCCTTGGGGCCTGAGATCTAAGGAAATCCCGAGAGCCATGTGACCTGGCCAGGGGTCACCAGGCCGTATCCCAGAACCTTCAGGCCTGCCCTCTGGGCAGCAATTGGGAAAGCCAGGCAGTCACAGCACCTACGGGACTGCCACACCTTTCCCCTGCACACACACACACACACACACACACACCCCACCCATGTCCTCCTCAGGCCACAGGGAGCCAGCGCTGCCTGCTCCCACATGGCTAAGAGCTAGGATCACCACAAGGGCCCATGGATAAGTGTCCCTACAAACCCGCCATCAGATCTGGCAAAGGGGCCAGAGCCTCACACCGGTGTCCACAACAGGCAGGGGCTAGTCAGACACGCGCCCCAAATAGCTACGGGCCAAAATCCCAGGCAGGAACCGACAATACAGCCCCCCCTTCAATGGATAAACATCACAGTCAACAGACAATCTCCCCCCCCCCCAAGAGGGGGCAATAAGTCATGCACCCTTCCCTTGCATTCCTTCCCTACCCAGGAGGCAGGTTAGGGCCCGGCGCCTGAGGCTCCCTGCGGATAGGGACCGCTCGCCGGAACAGGGAGGGACCAGTTAGACACACGCTGCGAGGATACAGACCAGGGTCATAGAGCCGTTCTCCCCCCCGCCCCCCTCCTCCTCTAACTCCGACTCCCAAGGATCGCAGGCCCGGAACACTTCCCCGCGGACAGATAGGACAGACAACACAGCCTCCCGCCTGCAGATAAGAAACTAAGTTGCAGACACCTGCCTCCCAACGGATAAAGTTCCGTGTCGCACGCACGCACCCCGGCAGCCCCCTCCATCCGCCTCTCCCTTCCCCCACCCCGCGTGCACCCATCCTGCGCCCCGATCGCTGGCGCACGCGCCCCCGGTGTGCAAACGAGTGAAAATTCACGACAACCCTCCCGGGCTCCGGCCGCGCACGTACCGATCGGCCCCGGCCCGCAGCCCGCGCGGCCCCGGCCCTTCCCCGCGCCCCCGCCACCCGCGCAGCTCGATCCTCACCTCGGCTCGGGCTGTCAAGGGAGGGCTCCCAGACATCACCCCGGCCCTCCGCCACCGCCACCAGCTCGCCCGGCTCAGCGGGAGCCGCTGGCGCAACAGCCAAGCTCGGAGCTGCAGGCGGAGAGGCGGAGGGAGGAAGGGGGAGAAGCGCCGAGCGCGCCGCCCGCCCCGGGAGCCCCGCCGCCGCCTACTCCCCGCTAGCCGCAACCACCAGCACAAAATGGCGACCAGGCGCTGCAGCCGGCGCTCCGACCACCATCCACCTACCGAGGGAGCGCGCTCCGGCTGGCCGCGGCGATTGGCCGCCATCCGCCATGGGCCGGCCCCGCGCCGCCCTGATTGGAAGCGCCCGCCACCTCCCGGGCCCCCGGCGCCGGGCGGACGCCTGCGAGTGGCGAAGAGGCACAGCGCCTGGCCAATCGGGCGAGGCGCGCCTCGGAGGCGCTCAGCTTCCTCCCAAGATGAAAGCCAAGCGGAAGCTCTGCCTCCTGCGCGGAGGGCACGGGAAACCCCAGCGCGATTGGCTGGGAACTGCACCCGCCCCCCCAAATGTCATCGCTTTCTTCCCACCGAGGAAAGGCGGAGTCCCGGCAGGCCCCACGAGCAGAACTCCCATTGCTTAACCGAGAGCATCAGGAAATGGCTGCTCTATGGAGGCCGTGCCACCGGGAGGAAAGAGGGCTGCTCAGCGCCTCCGGCCCCTTTAAAAGCACAGCTAGACCGGCTGGGACCTATTTCGTGCGGAGGGGGCGGAGCGACAATCAGCGCGTCCGGGTCAACTGCGGCTGCGCAGAGCTCCACTTCCGGCCCCGCCCCTGAGAACCTGCAGCACCGACTGTCATGGCGCCCGGACTGTTAGGTTTGTGCGCTCGCCGCCTTTTGGCAGCAGCGGCGACCCGAGGGCGCCTGGCCGCCCCGGTTCGCTGGGAATCCAGCTCTGCTAGGGCTGTGATCGCTCCGCCCGCCGCGGTGGGGAAGCGGGAGCCGGAGCCGACAGTGCGCTGGCAGGAGGACCCAGAACCGGAGGACGAAAACCTCTATGAGAAGGTGAGAGAGGGGAAACGGGACGCCGGGAGGGTCAATCGGGGGCGGCGGACGGGGCGCCGTAGAGGACTTTCTTAGGCGGTTGGGGATTGCGCAACGGGTAAATCCTCGAGGACTCGTGTGTTTTGCCTAGCTTGTCCTCATTTCCCCCGCGTTATCTTCGGTGCAGAGCCAGAGGCGAGGCTGACCTTATTTTGCAGAAAAGTATCCAACCCGATAGGACGCTTGCGCGGTGCCAGTCTTCTAAGCATTTTACATACGTTAACTTATCTGATGCTCCAAACAACTCTGTCTTTTCGGTACTGTTGGTATACTCCATGTCCAGGTGATGAAACTGAAGCACAGAGACGCCAAGTCCAAGTGACTTGCCCAAGTTCACATAACTGAATGCGCGTCAGGACACATGAGGTCCCCCCCAGGTCTCCTGTGCTGGGTAATAGCAGAGGCTCTGAAATCAGAATGCCTGGGCTGGAATACAGGCACTGACAGTTACTCACCTCAGTGACCTTGGGAAGCAACTTAACCCCTTAGTGCCTCAGTTTCTTTGCGAAATGGGAAAAAATATTAGGACACCTTTTTAAAAATGCTGCATCGTATAATTAAATAAGTCAAAATGCTCAGAACAGCATCTGGCACTTAGTACGTACTCAGCATTTAGAAGGTGTTACTTAGTTTTCCAACTTGCTGGGATATTGTGAAGTCTGTTTGTGAAAAGGCCTGACACATAAGAGGTATTTCATCAATATTAATTTCCGGTTGAGGGGCTTGGATATACAAGAGGCTCATTCATTCTGTAAATAGAAGAGTCAGGGACCCACTGAACTCCAGGCACAGGTCAGGGCCCTAGGGGTCCAACAGTATAGAAATCAGATAAAGCCCTTGCTCTTATGTAGCTTATACGATAGTGGAAAACACATAAGATAAATATGTCAAACACTTGGAAATGGTAATATAGAGCATGTAATTGGTAATATAAGATAATGTGATATACAGGATCTGTGGGATGCTACTTTGGTAAACTAATACCTGCTGGAAAGAATGTTAGGCAGGATAAATGGATCGAGAGAGACTTGGGGGTTGGGGGTAATTTTATTAGGTTGAACCATAGGAAATGGCCAATAGTCAACCATCTTTGAGTAAAGAAAATGGCAGTTTTTGATAGTTAAACTTAATAGACAATGTGAAGAGGGAATGCCTCTTAAGAGAAGATGAGAAGCCAAAACTTTGAATAAGGAGGCCGATCCAGGCATGACTACATGGGGGGGGGAAAGGCTTTCCAGGCAGAGGGAGCAGTAAGTGCAAAGGCCCTGTGGTGGGGAGGAGCTTGACAAGTCCTAAGAGCGGAAAGAGGGGAATTTAGGGAGCAAGGGGAGACTGGTTAGAGGTGAAACTGGGGAACAGCTCACACATGGCCAGCATAAGGCTTTGTGGAGCAGCGGGAAGCCCTGTTGACATCTTCTCCGTCCACAGAACCCTGACTCTCATGGCTACGACAAGGACCCCGTTCTGGATGTCTGGAACATGCGGATCGTCTTCTTCTTCGGTGTCTCCATCGTCTTGGTCTTTGGCACCACCTTTATGGCATATATGCCCGACTACAGGTTCATGGGGTGGCCGAGAGAACGGGCTGGGTGGGGGCAGAGGTAAGGGTGGAAGTCGAAGGGGACTCTGCCAGGAGTCCTGTCCTGTACCCTTGAGGAATGGGGGGCTGAGGTGGGGATTGCTGTCCAGTGAGGCTTTCTCATGTCTTCCCTCTCCCTTGCTGTTGCCTCCAGGATGCACGAGTGGGCCCGCCGGGAAGCTGAAAGGCTTATAAAATACCGAGAAGCCAATGGCCTTCCCATCATGGAATCCAACTGCTTTGACCCCAGCAAGATCCGGCTACCAGATGAGGATTGATTGGATGCCCAGCGGACCTCAAGAAGCACCACCTTTTCTACCCCCTGCCTGCCATTCTGCCCTCTCCGCAGAGCACCTTATTAAAGAAACCGAAAATCTGACTGGCTGGTGTTCATTTTGTTGCGAGGGGGTTGTGGGAGCCGGGGTGTCAGACCTTAAGAGGGCCACTGCAGCCTTTCCTGGGTGTTCTGGTTCTCTATTGCCGTGTAACAAGCATCCTCAGACTCAGTGGCTTAAATGACAATTTAGTATTGTCTTTCATGGTCCTATGCTTGATGGCTCAGGTAGGCCTTTCTTAGGGTCAGATGGTGGCTGGGGCTGAATTCATTTGAAAGCTCCACTGGGCTGGACATCCAAGATGGCTTCTTCACTCACAGGTCTGGCGCTTCAGTCTTCTCCCAGGGTGCCTCTGTCTCCAGGCAGTTCCTTCAGGTCCACCCTCCCCACCCCAAGGGTAAACACTCTCCCAACTTGTAACGGTGCAGGTTCATTTGTCTAGTCCAATACTTCATGTAAGTGCATGGAGACATTTTTGCATCTGACTGCTTTCATTTAGCACTATGTTTGTGAGATCCACGTAGTTACATGGTCAGTAGTTACATTACTGTGCTCTCTTCCATTGTGGGAATAGACCACACTTCATCCGTTCTAGTGTCAGTGGGTATTTGGGCACTTCTCTGTCTGGGGCTATTAAGAATAATTCTTGCCCTAACTGGTTTGGTTCAGTGAATAGAGCTTTGGCCTGCGGACTGAAAGGTCCCAGGTTCGATTCCAGTCAAGAGCATGTACCTTCACTGCGGGCACATCCCCAGGAGGGAGTGTGCAGGAGGCAGCTGATCAACGTTTCTACCCCATCGATGTTTCTAACTCTATCCTTTTCCCTTCCTCTGTAAAAAAATCAATAAGAATAATTATTGGAGTGACTGAGGTCATAAGCAAGATTCCTGTGGCCGTGGGTCCCTATGGATAGTCCCAGCCAAGCTGCTTTGACCACAAAAAGATGGGCTTGGTGATGGGTTGCACCATGGGCATGGTCGCTGGGGCACTCTTTGGCCCCTTTTTCTGTCCCAGGATCGGAATGTGGGGTCAGAAGCTGATGGCCTCAGGAAAACTGCAATGCCAAGTGGTGGCACCTTTGGCACATTCATGGCTATCCGGATAGGCCTTTATGCTAATCAGCAATGGTTGCCCACATCTCCATCCCATCAGTCCCAGCCCATGTACTACAATAAAAAGACAGTAAATAAAATTATTCTGTGAACATCTTTTGATGGACATATGCACTCATTTCTCTTGGGCATATATGCATCTGGGAACAGAATTGCTACCATGGGGTAGACAGGTGATGAGCCTTAGTAAAGCATGCCAGTTTTCCCAACTGCAATTCCCCCTTTTGCAAATGCTCCTTCCTCACCATTGCTCAGCATTCTCCATCTTTCTCATGGTAGCCATTTTGCTAAGCAACTGGCCTTGAACAGACTACATTGGGATGAAGAGGTGGGTGTTGAGTTCCTCCTGTGTGCCAAGCCCTGACAATGCGCCAGGCACTGACAGTCACCAGGATCTCTGTCCTCAGGAATTTCCCAGGGTGGGCATGGTGGCCAGTAGGAGTGGTCAGACAAAAACATGCTTTCACCCTACTGTTTGACCCCAAGGATATTTGAGCCATGATATCGATATTTTAAAATACGTTTTATATTGAATATTAGAGAGAAAGGGAGAGGGAGAGAGAGTTAGAAACATCGATGAGCAAAAAACATCAATCAGCTGCCTGCTGCACACCCCCTATTGGGGATGTGCCTGCAACCAAGGTACATGCCCCTGACCGGAATCAAACCTGGGACCCTTCAGTCCACAGGCCGATGCTCTATCCACTGAGCCAAACCGGCTGAGTGAACCTTGATATTTTAGACCCAGCTTTGCTCCAGCAACATAACAGATATACACCTCCATCCTGCAGTTGAATAGAGCCTTTATTATGTGCAAGGCTCAGTGAACAAGACCGGTAAACTACTTGACTTCAATCCTTGTCTCAGGGGGGAGCTGAACTAAGATATTCTCAGTTCTCAGGAAGTTTGCCTTAAGGTGATGAGTAAGACTGAGAGTACACAGCACGGAAATGGGCAAGTTCCACCAGAAGGCTGGCTGGCTGGAATGTTATGATTACTGGAATCTCCCAGGAAAAGAATGGCTAGGGATGAGGTTATGGAGGTGGTCATAGGCCATACCCCTGAGGCCCCCATGGCTGTGGTTAGGAGGAGTTTATAATTTTACACACTACACAAAGTTAACCAGAAACCTTCAAGTTTCTGCTAAATATCAGCTTCTCAGAGAGGACTTCCTTCTTTGAAATGCCACCCCTGACTATTCGTTCTCCACATTTTTGGCGGAGTTTCTCCCCTCCACAGCACACACACATTGTGGTCATGCTGCCGGGAATTAAACAAAAAATAATCTGGCTTTTTATTTTAACGAGAGACGCAGGAAGAGGAAGGAGGAGAGGAGAAGAGAAAGGAGTAAGAGAGAGAAAAGGAGAGAGGGGGGGAAGGAAGGGGAGGGTGAAAGAATTCTTCAGAAACTCTCAACCCATCAAGATGGGGCAAGACTGGTGTTAGGAGTGGGAGAGGGGAGGTAGATTCAAACAGATTCCATTTTAAAGAAAAATACTCTCTACACACACTACCCAGCCTCTGAACCACCATTTTTCTTATGTGGAATCCACTTTCCGGGCTTTCCAGAAAGTTCTACTCACCTTACAAAGTGGCCTCTTTGGGGGAAGCTTTCATTTTGAAAAACAAGCTCAGACAGGTCGGTTTGGGATCTGACCCTGAAAAAGAGTTTTGATTAATAAAAGTTACCATTTTTAGTTGAAAGTATTTTGTCTGATGTAAGTATAACTGCACTTGCTTACCCTCCACTTCTATTTGCTTGAAATATTTTTTTTTCCATCTCTTCACCCTCAGTCTATAATTTGTAGGGCAAAAGTAGGTTTACAATTGTATGCAGCAGTTTATTCTTGAATTATTATTTATTAATTATTGTATTATTTTCTGTACAAACAGCTGTAATGAGTCTCTTTTAGGCAGCATATTGTTGGCTCCTGGTGTTTGTTTGTTTTTAATTCATTCAGCTCTCCTATGTCTTTCAATTGGAGAATTAATCTATGTATAAAGTAATTATTGATGGGTAAGGAGTTACTCTTGCTGTTTTGGTAATTGTTTTCTGGCTGGTTTGTAGATCTGTTGTTCCATTAAGCTTTAAGTATTTTAAATTATAACGTCCTATTTTAAATTGATAACAACTTCAATAGTATTCCTAAACTCTACAATTTTATTCATATCCATCACAATCTAGGTAATTGATAAAGTTCTTATTTTGTATATTGTGCAACCAAAAATAGATGATTAGTTATGGTTATTTTTACTACATTTACTTTTTAATTTTAAACTACAGTTGTATTACGTGCTCTTACGGAAAACACAATTACAGAAAACTTAAATATATTTTCAAAAAGTCACACATGCGCGAATACATGTCCCAGCCAAGATTCAACTTGGGCGGTCTGAATGAAAGCCAATCTCTGAAGGCTACAAGTGAACAGCAAACTAGCAGGCGCTTTGACTTCATCTTTGAAACTGTTTTGGACCCGCTCCAGGTTTTTGTTTTCCCTAGTGCGGCTGCGCAAAGACTACTTCCCCCCCCCCCCCCCCCCGCCGCTGCTCACAGTCCGGGAAATCAACATTGCTCCACTCCATCGCCTCCTTCCCTGCCTGGTTGGGACTGGGCAACAGAACAGGACACCTAAAAAGGATCAGCAGAAAGCAGCGGCGGGGGCGGGGGGGGCGGGGAAGGGGGGAATGGGCTCAGATCCTCCAGGCAGGCCTGCTTGTCTCTGTGTCCTTAGAGGGCCTGAAAGAGGCAGAGCCAGTTGTGACAGGTCTGTGGGCTCTGATGTCAATCAGCTGTTCATCAGAGCAGCATTGACACCTTTAGAGCGTGGGCTCTCCAGCTGACAGCCAATCAAGAGCTCCTGCTTTAAAGCCCAGGCTGGGCTGAGCAAGAGGGTAAAGGGCTGATTAACCAGCGTTGATTGACACCTCGACCTGTCTTTAAGTGCAGGTTGGGGGGGGGGCGGTGTCTGGACCCACCCATCTCCCAGGTCATGGTGCTGGAATGGAGACTTGACCCTTCTGAACCAGTGAAAACATCTGAGCTTTGTCCTTTGGGGAATTGAGGGTAGGGTCTTGCTTTGACTGACATGCTTATCATCCAATAAGCGTGTTTGCTTGAGCTGGGGGATGGGGCCATCACTGGTTGCAGGAAAGGAGGGGTCTTGTCCTTGACTGACCCTAGTTTCGCTTAGCAAGGAAAACAAGGAAAACCAAATTCCACGAGTAGCTGCCCACCCTCACCTTATCTGTTTCTAAAAAGGCTTGTGATACTTTAAAAAGTTTGAAAATCACAAATTTGAAGCAATTTAACTTTCCCATGCTGGACAGAAACTTACTGCATCTCTCAAAAAACAGCAGCCCCTTAGAAAGGTGATCTTAGGAGTGGGACCAGGAATAGAAGGGGTTCTCAGAAACAGCTTTACGGCAGTTGACAACAAACTGGAACTTGATTTGATGTTTGAGGGCCTGAGAGACTTTGACAGAGGGTTTCTGGCAAGAGTGATGGGGTTTCTGGGGACAATGATGGGGGTCTGGGGGTCAGTAATAGATGGTTACTAGTTGTCACCTTGGGTAACTCATGTAGACGCCCATAGCAAGGGCCTGCTCTCCCATGAGACCATCTGGAATTCAGCTGCTGATGCAGCCAACTGTCTTTGCCTCCTGGACATGGCAATGCATCCACCATCAAAGACTGGATACTGTAAAAGACTCTTATGTTTTTAACTAGAGGCCCGGTGTGTGAAAATTCATGCACTGGAGGGGGGTTACCTCAGCCCAGCCTGCCCCCTCTCACAGTCTGGGAGCCCTCAGGGGTGGGAGGTGACTTGGTGATTAGGGAGAGGTGATGTCCCATCACACCTCTGCTGCTGCCACTGCCAGCAACACAAGCCTTGGCCAGCCCTGGTTATCTGAGCCTTGGGCAGCTAGGGGGACTGAAGAAACTGGGGGACTCCAGAGGCAGGTGCACGGAGTGGCCAGACCCACCTGGGGCAGGCCCGGCTGTGCCATGTGCCTGGCACCCCAGCAGGGCTGAGAGGACTGGGCAACACCATCTTTGAGGGCATGGCAGTCAATTAGCATATTCCCTCCTTATTGGCTATGGGTGCCACCATCTTCGTGAGGGTGTGACAATCATTTAGCATATTCCCTCTTTATTAGATAGGATGCAGATGGTTTGCAGTCTGACAGTGGTGTACCCAACAACGGGCCAATAGTCAAAGTATTTGGTAGACATTGCAGCTCCCTACCATCAGCAGATATCTAGTATTGTTGAATGTTAAACAGCTTTCTACAAAATGGAATAAAAAGGATTTCAGACTCTACCTCTCTTACCTCCTCCTGATCCATATACCATAGTAAGGCAATTTGATCTTGGAATGTGGCTGTCCCTTAAAAGGGGTCACCTCCTGGATAAAGATCAGGACAAAGGGGGTGGATTATAGAGATCTATTTTGAAAATTCAGGATTCAGCCCATTTTTGGACATGATGTATCTTTCCTTCCCCTCACAGCAATCCCAGGTCAGCCTGGTTTGTAACCTCCAGGTGACAGCTCAGCTCAAAAGGGGCTTAGGGGATTTGAATTGAATTATGGCTCAGTCACCTACATTCTCTTTCTGGATGGACATGGTCCTAGATCATAGGGTTACCGTAGAGTGAGGCTTGGGGTAAGACTTCTCTTGTTGGATGGACACAGTCTTTGATCATGAAGATAATGACCACTTGGCTGAATAAGTTGTTCACTGAGTTCTATTTATGTCTTCTATTTTGGTCCACACTGACCAAAATAGAAGACATAAAAAAATCTGTAAATTTTATAAAAGTATCTTTGATCCTCTGGCAGCTGACCTTTCTGAATGATCAGATAAAAGTGAAGTTATAGGCATTGGGATGAAACAGAATAATTACATGGCAATGGACAGAACGTACTTGGAGCAAGAACGCCTTAAAACCTTGAAAGGTGCAACATGGGAAGAGGATTAATGCTCTTTGTCCCCTAGATTGAGCACTACACCTGATAAAAGAATCATATGGTCTCCCAGAGTCAAGCAGCAGGTGCAGCCTGCAATCTGACCTGATTGCAGGTTGGTCATCATTTCCTTGGCATGAAAACCACAGAAAAACCCATGTGAACGTGGCCAGACATATTCTGGTGTGCCTGATGCCATCCATGTCAGCTCCTGAACACGGCCCTCCCTCTTGCCTGTACAAACACTTGGGCCAGCATGATCTTGTTTAGATCTCACTGATACAAACGCATCTGCTTCTCCTGATACCTGAGTGGTCTCGGATTATGCCATGTTTAGCAATTGGGCTACAAGCCTTGGATGAAACCACCCATGGGATATAACCAAACCAATGGAATGATGATCCTAGTCAAGTTGAACAACAAATTCTGAAATTAAGTGAATCATGTCCCTTCGGGTTACATGTCTATATATGGGGAAAGAGTGATGAACAAAGTGTCTCTCCATTGGGAAAGGGGTTGCTTTTGGACCCACATATTGCCCCCTTGTCATTATTGACAGTGACACCAAATATCTGCAAGTCAGTCTAGATTATTTTGTGTGGGTTGCAGTATATTATCCTGGCCTTAGACTACTTTCTGGCTAAGAATACATAGCCCTCACCCTATATCACCTTGGCCATTTCTCAGGGTTGTATGGACAGCAAGCGACCTTTAAGGAATGAGATAATGCTTCCGTCTAGGATAGGGGTGTCGAACTCAATCAGAGAAGGGGCCAAAATCTAAAATCCAGCCTAAATCGCGGGCCGAATGGTTTACTGAACAGTCATAAACTGTCATTGTGATGGAAACGCAGCGGAGTGCAGTGATGACAGCGCGGTGCGGGCCACATTGCAAGGCCTGGCGGGACGGATTTGGCCCGCGGGCCTTGTGTTTGACACATGTGGTCTAGGACAAGGAGCAGGCTGACTTTCTCAAGCTCAGCATTTCTTTTCCATAGAACAGAAGAGGAGGAAATACTTCCTAACTCATATTATATTGATATTAATTCCAAATATGGTAGAAATAAAGAAAACTAGATGCCAATATCTCTAATAAACATAGATGCAAAAACCCTCAACAAAAATGTTAGAAGTTTGAATCTAGTAATATATAAAAAGACTAATATACTATCACCAAGGGGGTTTTATTCCAGGAATGCAAAAATCTATCATAATAACACCTAAAGAAGAAAAACCACAAAACCATATCAATAAAGAAAAAAGTATTTAAAATATATCCAAAACAATAATTTAAAGGAACCCCTCACAAACCAGAGAACTATCTCAACCTGAGAAAGGGCATCTCCAAACAGACTTACAGCTAACATCATATTTAATGGAGAAAGACTAGGAACAAGGCAAGAATATCTACTTTTACTATTCCTATTTAACACAGCACTAACAGAGTGCAATAGGGCAAGAGAAAGAAACACAAATATGCAAATTGTAAAGGAAGAAATATGGCTGTCTTTATTCACAGAAGACATTTATAGATCCAAAGAATTCCAGAGAAGCTACAGAAATACTCTTAGAACTAATGAGTTTAGCAAAGTCAGATACTAGTTCAATCTACAGACACCAATCATACTTTGAATGAACAATTGGAAACAAACAATTTTTAAATAATCCTATCTATAATAGTTCCAAATAATGAAATAGTTGGATATAAATCTAACAAAACACATCTTACAAAATGCTGATGAAAGAAATTGAAGAATGTATGCCAACTACAACTAAAAAAAAAAATCAAAGAAGAATAAATCATTAGGAAGACACGCTGTGTTACTGGATTAGAAGACTAAAAATAGTAAAGATGCCAATTCTCTCCAAATTATTCTATAGATTTAAAGCAATTCCAATTAAAATTGCAGCAGAATTTTTTGCAGATATAGTCAAGCTGATCCTAAAATTTATATGGGATGCTAAAAGAACTAAAATATCTAAAACATTTTTTAAAGAACAAATAAAAGAAATTTTAAGGCTAATGTAAGGTGATATAGATCAGATCAGATCAGTGATTTCCTGGAGGTGGGAGCAGGCATACAGAGGGAAAGGATTACAAAGAGATACAGGGAAAGTCTTGGGGTAATGGATAGATTCATTATCTTGCTGGTGGAAACAAACATCAAATTGTGTACTTTAAGTATGTGTAGGTCAATAAAGCTATTTAAAAATATTCTTTCCAAAGTAAAATATTACTTTTATACCTACTAGGTGGCAGTTGGAACCATAGGTGTTGTCAAAGTGTTTAATTCAGATCCTTTAGCAATATTTTATTTCTTATCTTATTATTTTTAATATATTTTATAGATTTTTTACTGAGAGAAAGGAAGAGGGATAGAGAGTTAGAAACATCAATGAGAGAGAAACATCGATCAGATGCCTCCTGCACAACCCTCACTGGGGATGTGCCCGCAACCAATGTACATGCCCTTGACCAGAATCGAACCTGGGACCTTTCAGTCCGCACGTCTACGCTCTATCCACTGAGCCAAAGCGGTTAGGGCACAATATTTTATTTTTAAAATAACATATAGGAAGAGTAAGATGAAGGTAGGTTACCATTGCAGCACATTTTATAAGATTATGATGAAAATAAAAAGGAACATAATTACAGTAAATCTTTACCAGATTGCTTTTTATTAGTTTGAAGCTTTCAGTATAGTGTGAAATGCAGAATAAAGAACAGGTACAGTCTCTTCCCTCTGCCGCCATCCACCAGCAATTTGTAAAGGATCAAGAGGCTGGTTGACAGTTGAACAATTCTTGACATTTTTATTGTACCTTTGCAGAAGGCCGTCTAGTACGTTATCAAACCCACCTGCCACTCCTTGTTAAAAATCTCTACATTTAAAAGAGAGTAAATGAACATATAATTCTGTTATAACATCATTGCTTCAGTTTTTGGTAACTATTGTAGATTGAAAAGTCAGCTCCAGAATTCTCTAGATGTCGGCAACAGTAGGAAGGCCTGTCACTCAGCCTATGTAAGGACGGGGAGGAATGCCTTTGACTCCCAGGCCAGTTATCTGTTAAAAAAAGAGAGAATCTGTGATAAAAAAGTAATCCATAGGTATTTTTTTTCAAAAACACTTTTATGATTTGCATTATATATTTAACCACCTGTTATTTTATTCCCTATCACAAAAAGGAATTACTTGATTAGGTACTTATGATCGAACCCAATTTTCCACATAGATAATAATCTAACTAGCAACCATTTACAACTAACTGGGATTTAAAGCTGAATTTATTTCTATCATTTCATACCTATTAAGAAAGGGATTTGAGCCAAATGATTTCTAAATTTCAGCTCAAAAGGTCTATACTTTTTTTTTATCAGTATTTGTTTTGCAAAAAAGTTAAAAACATGAAAATATTCTTGTGACATCAAAACAATCAACTAATCTTATTCATTCACTATATACTTATATTGATTTCAGAGAGGAAGGGAGAAGGAGAGATAGAAATATCAATGATGTGAGAGAATCATTGATTGGCTGCCTCCTGCATGCCCCCCCTCCCCAATGGGGATTGAACCCATAACCTGGGTATGTGCCCTGAGGGCCTGTGCCCTGACTGGGAATCAAATCCTGAATCAAAGTGGGAATTCAGCCATGACCCCCTAGTTCATAGGTTGATGTTCAACTATTGAGCCACACTGGCCGGGCCAATCAACTGATCTTATAAACATGTTTCAAATACTGGTTGTCCAAGCCCATTCTACTGATTTACAGAATTTCAGCAAACACTACTGAAATAAAAATTATTTTCTAAGGACTGTAAAAGGAGTCTAAAAATATTGTCCTGGACTTCAGGTAACTTTCAGTCTAGAAAGTCTAAGAATAATGTTTTCCAATGTAGCATGATGAGCTTAAAATGCTAACTAGAACTGTGTCTTGGAAGTATGAAAAAGCACCGATCACTTGATGATACTTAACTGAGGATCTCCCACCTCATCCTTAAGGAAAAGAAATAGCCAGATCACCTTGAAAATTCCACCAGCTTCCGGTTGCCACAGAAGACCCTCAGGGTCTATTCCTTCCCGGGCACAGGTCACGTACATTTCAGAGTAATCCTTCCCTCCAAAGCAACACGAGGTTGTTTTATCAACAGGCAGCTTCACAGTTTGGAGTCTTTTCCCTGGAGCACCAAATATTGTATTTAAAGTCTACTTCTAGCAAATTTCCAACCAGCAAAAGCTTTCAGGACCCTTTACAGAGTAATAGAAGAGTTTAAAGAAGGTGGTGGAGGTCACGTTTCAGCCATGCATTGCACCTACCTTCCCTGACAATTTATTTGTTTTGGGCAAAAGGACTTATCTGCACAAGAAAAGAAGTTCTGACCATAAATTTGGGGCTATATATTTGGACTTTATGTCTAAAATCATCCAATAGACACCTTTGAATATAGGGTATCCCCCCCCCCCCCAAGTGTATACATACACTTTGAATAATTCTCAAGGCAGTGTTTATTAAAATATATTTTATTTTCAAAATAGAGCTATCAGGCCCTAGCTCGTTTTGCTCAGTGGATAGAGCATTGGCCTGCAGACTGAAGGGTCCCAGGTTCGATTCTGATCAAGGGCACATACCCGGATTGCAGGCTCGATCCCCGGTAGGGGTGTGCAGGAGGCAGCCAATCAATGATTCTCTCTCATCATTGATGTTTCTATTTCTCTCTCACTCCCTTTCTGAAATGAATAAGTATATTTTTAAAAGTTGAGCTATCAGCAGAAACCGGTTTGGCTCAGTGGTAGAGCATCGGTCTGCGGACTGAAAGGTCCCAGGTTTGATTCCGATCAGGGGCATGTACGTTGGTTGCGGGCACATCCCCAATAGAGGGTGTGCAAGATGCAGCTGGTCAATGTTTCTCTCTCATCGATGTTTCTAGCTCTCTATCTCTCTCCCTTTCTCTCTGTAAAAAAATCAATAAACTATATATTTTTTTAAAAGTTGAGCTATCAGTTGTTATAGTGTGTATTCATTTTGGGGGATATCCTGTATATTGCTGTCTAACTTCATTAATGATGAATTTTCTCCAGTCCCTAGTGTCTGGTGTTTTCTAGACATGAGGAGGATTTTCCATTGTTCTGTGAGCCTACCTGTCTCAGGATCTAAACGAATCACTCTTCCTCCATTGTAACAGGCCACCCAGAGCTTCCCCTCAGCATCGATACACATTCCATCTGGGATATGTTCGTCTTTCTCCAGCTTGTAAACACTTCTGCGGTTGGCTATGGTTTGAAAAAAAGCACATACACATACATCCCCAATACAACAAGCTACTCAATACTAAGCATCAAACAATGAGCAATCAAGTGATTATAAATACTGATCATGTCTGCTTATCTGGGTTCTAGTGTATGGGAACCACAGGTGGGATGGTTCAAAAGGATTCCTAACTTTAAACAATGACCACATATATGATGGGTACCCCACAACAAAGGATTTGGGGTGGATTCATCCTCTAATTTGGGTACAGACATGTCTGTAGAAGCTTTCAGAGGAGAGAAAAAAGAAAGTAGAATTCTTTTTAAAAAAATGATTTCAGAGAGGAAGGGAGAGGGAGGGAGAGAGAGAGAGAGAAACATCAATGATGAGAAATAATCATTGATCAGCTGTCTCCTGCACACCCCCTACTGGGGATCGAGCCCCCAACCCAGGCATGTGTCCTTCCTGGCTCATGGGTAAATGCTTAACCACTGAGCCATGCCAGCCAGGCAGGAAATAGACTTCTTAATAAAACACCATTATCCCCTATCCAGTTTAGCTCAATGGACAGAGCATTGGCCTGCAGACTGAAGAATCCTGGGCTTGATTCCAGTCAAGGGCACATGCCCAGGTTGCCAGCTTGATCCCAAGTAGGAGATATATATATATATATATATATATATATATATATATATATATATATATATATATATATAATACCAATAGATATTTTTGAGGCTGACTGAATTGAACCCCTGCATGACCACCTCAGATGTATAGGGTGTCCCAAAATATGTATACACACGTTTTTAATAACTATAAAGGCAGTGTTTATTAAAATACATTTCATTGCCCTAACTGGTTTGGCCCAGTGGATAGAGTGCTAGCCTGCAGACTGAAGAGTCCCAGGTTCGAGTCCAGTCAAGGGTATGTACCTTGGTTACGGGCACATCCCCGGTAGGGGATGTGTAGGAGGCAGCTGATAGATGTTTCTAACTCTCTATCCCTATCCCTTCCTCTCTGTAAAAACCCAATAAAATACATATTAAAAAATAAAATAAAACACATTACATTTACAAAATGGAGCTATCAGCTGTTAAAGTGTGTATACATTTTTTGGGGCACCCTGTACTTCAGCCTGTGGTTAGACCTTTGTAGTTTTACTTACAAAAATGCCTACTTGGATTAACCCCAAGATCTACAATAGAAGACAACTCAAGGTGCCAGGTGGCCATTCATTCACAAAAACTAGTACAATGTATGAGTACTGTTTCTGCCTGACTAATGCTTCATAATCACCTTATCAAAATGAAATATTAGAAGTTTCTTTCTGAAAGAATGAGTATTCTGAAATCAACTAGCTGGCCTTAAATGGGGGAATCAGAGTATCAAAAAAACATCAAAATCCAGAGAAACTTTACACTCCAAAATGCAGGACACTACAGCGATAAAAGTGAGGCATAAGGAAAAAATAGTAAAACCATGCATAAGTAAGATGGGTAAAAAACAGTCATAAAAAGAGCACTAAATATTTGAAGACAACACATTTGTACTGGAATGTTTCACCTCTGATTAAATCTACAAAAGAATCTTGTGATATTTTTCAAGTAATTTTTTAATTATTAGTTTTGCTCTTGTGGTTTGGCACCTTTCATGAAACAGTTTCAAGTAATCCCTTCTAAATTCTTGTCAGTAATTCCTTCCTCCCAGTTTCCAACTATGGCTCATTTAGAGCCCATTGATGGACTTGAACAATCTGTAACTACTTTAAAAAAAACAAAACTTTTCCATTAAAAGAAAATCCTCACCCAAGGATGGATGGATGGATAGATAGATAGATAGATAGATAGATAGATAGATAGATAGATTTTTAGAGAGAGAGGGAGGGAGAGATAGAGATAGAGGTAGAGGTAGAGGTAGAATAGAGATAGAGATAGAGATAGAGATAGAGATAGAAACGTTGTGAGAGAGAAATATTGATCAGTTGCTCCCATATGCTCCTAATAGGGGATCAAACCCACCAACTACGTATGTGCCCTGACTGGGAATTAAACCTGAAACCTGTTGGTGTATGAGATGACACTCTAACCAACCGAGCCACCCAGACAGGGCTACTTTTCCATTTTGAAAGGTTGTTAGTCTCTGAGCACTTGTCTCTTGTTAACTGAAGTACAAATAAGAAATAGTAAAAGAGACATATCAACCCCAAACTCTATTTTTCTGTTCTTTTAATCACTCCACTGTATATTATTTGCCTTTAGGCACCTCCTGGTAGAAGAGGATCTATTCTACAGTAAACCTCTTTCTAGCGATGGTGGCAAGAAAGGATTAAAGAGCTATCCATGTTATGCCTACTGAGGCTTGACTGCATCTTCAAGTCTGTGTAATCATTACCATACTGGGATATCATTGGACAGCTCTCTATTTGACAAAGTAAGGATCTTTACCCATGGGTGGAGGGACAGGCAGCTTACTAATGAAATACATATGAAAAAATATGAGCAGTATTAAGAACAATAAAGAGAAAGTACATACAGATCTTTCCTGTCTGCACGTCATAGTCAAAAGCATCCACGGAGTAGGACAGGCTGTCTATGTAATAGAAGATCTTGTGGTCCAGGGACCAATCCAAGCCGTTGGAGATGTCCACCTGGTCAAAGTACTTTTCCACATGGTGGTCAGGAAAGAGGCAGTACAGGGACCCTTGGCGCCGCTCCAGAACTCCTGGGGCTGTCTCTTCAGCCATAGTGCCTACAAAAACCAAAGACCGCTGAGCCCAGCCTCACAGCATCTCGCCCATGGTGGCACTATCTTTTCTTACCAGGGTTCCTTCTCATGATTAAATCAAAGAATTTATTCAATCCCAATCAGGTTTGATTCCCAATCCGGGTCCTATATTTTTATTTTTTAAAAATATATTTTATTGATTTTTAACAGAGAGAAAGGGAGAGAGATAGAGAGCTAGAAACGTCAATGAGAGAGAAACATTGACCAGCTGCCTCCTGCACGCCCCCCACCGGGGATGTGCCCGCAACCAAGGTACATGCCCTTGACCGGAATCGAACCAGGGACCTTTCAGTCCACAGACCGACACTCTACCACTGAGCCAAACCGGCTTCGGCTGGGTCCTATATTTTTAAAAAATGACAACTACCACCCAGCTGGGGTGGCCTAGTGGTTGAACATTGACCTATGAACCAGAAGGTCATGGTCAGGGCCCACACTCATGCTGCAGGCTCAATCCCCAGTAGGGGGTGTGTTGATTCTCATCACTGATGTTTCTCTGTCTCCTTCTCCCTTGTTTCTGAAATCCATAAAAATATATAAAAATAGCCGAAACCGGTTTGGCTCTGTGGATAGAGTGTCAGCCTGTGGACTGAAAGGTCCCAGGTCTGATTTCAGTCAAGGGCATGTACATTGGTTGCTGGCACATACCCAGTAGGGGGTGTACAGGAGGCAACTGATCAATTTTTCTCTCTCATCGATGTTTCTAGCTCTCTATCCCTCTCCCTTCTTCTGTGTAAAAAATCAATCATATATATATATATATATATATATATATATATATATACACATATAAAATAAAATATATATTTTAAAAATATATTTATATGAAAATAAAAAATGACAACTATCTTGTTTGTAGTGCAGATCAAAACTACACAGGTCCTAGTTCCAGATAAGAAGGAGTTCATCCACACCAATCTCATTTTCTCCCACTGAGCACAACTATACAACTTGGTCAAAATGCAAGGCATAGCTGTTTGAGAATTCAGAAAAGTAAAGGTGAGGAAGCTCAGAGAAGAGCACCAGATTTTACAGTACCACTTAGTTGGTGTGGAGTTCTCCATTTTATCCTCCAGGATGCCCCAGCATCCTGCAACTGAATTTAGTACCGCCTGGAACTTGGAGTGCTGTAGGGCAGACAGAGATCCAAGAGAAACCCTCTAGTTGTGGCTTCAGGATCAGAAAAGAAAACAGGTTCAGAGGAGCAAAAAATACCCTGGTTGCTGGGTTTCTTGCCCCAGCCTTACAAAGCATCCTGGAGAAAAGGCTGCACATAGATGATTAAGAAGGAGGCCAAGGCCAAAACCGGTTTGGCTCAGTGGATAGAGCTTCGGCCTCCAGACTGAAAGGTCCCAGGTTCGATTCCCGTTGGGGGCATGTACCTTGGTTGTGGGCACATCCCCAGTAGGGGGTGTGCAGGAGGCAGCTGATTGATGATGATTCTCTCTCATTGATGTTTCTAACTCTCTATCCTTCTCTATTCCTCTCTGTAAAAAATCAATAAAATATATATACATTTTTAAAAAGGAGTCCAAGGACAAAAAATAGTTTTGAAAGGCATTGGGGGTCAGAGGAGCTTCCAGCTGAAGGAGCTAGAAGACTCTCCTCCTTGACCAAAGACCCGTGCTTTTATTAAACACAATTTGTCCCAAGACAAGGTGGAAATATACGCTTCAAAGGGTGAGGTTTCAAAGGGTACAGAGCATTGTCAGTTTGGGGAATAGTCTACAGCTGTTCAGGTGTTTGGCCAACAGGAGGCAATAAAATGCCCTGAGCTGTCTGGCAGCTAACAATCATCCTATTCAGGGTTGGGGGAAGTGCCGTTTAGCCATTTCCAACAGGTGAACTACATGTGACTCAACCCCAGTGAGCTCCCCAAGCTTCACCAACCTTTTTGTAAAACTCCTGCAATTACTGCATGCTGGCATTGGTTTTGGCATCTGGGTATTTTTCAAATTGAATTTATCGGGGTGACATGGGCCAATAAAATCATACAGGTTTCATGTATACAACTCTGCAACACATCATGTGTATATTGTATTGTGTGTTCACCACCCCAAGTCAAGTCTCCTTCCATCACCATTTATCTTCTAGCTCCCCCTACTCCTCTCCTTCTGGCAATTTCCACTCCCTTTTCTCCATTCTCTCACGCATCGGTCCCCAGGCAATTCTGCAGCAAGGGTAGCAAACAGTAGTGTGTCCAGCAACAGAAAACTACAGGAACCAAATCTCTGAGGGAAGGGGTCATTCTGCTCCACTTGGTGAAGTCACTGCTCCAAAAGGGCAGAGCCCAACATGGTTGCTTGTATGTTCGCTCTCTCTGTCCTCCTGCCATTTGACCTAGGAGGGAGAACAATCATAGGTATGGTGGTTTCAGGCTGGAGGAATGAAAGGAGAGCTCCAGCAAGCTGGAATGTACCCAGAGAGAGCGAAGAGGGATGTTGCACAGGAATGCAACCCCACAAAAGTGTCTGTGATCTGGACTCATATGCTACTTGCACAGGCATGGATATGGTTCCAGTGAGCATACCAAACACTGAGAGTGGTGCTGTGGATAGAATTCCTTCTAAGTCTCAGACTGACCACTGAGTGGCATGCATGTGGGACAAAGCCTAATGGCACCTGGGAGAAAGCAGGTTGGAACTTGTGGTCCAGGGTCTGAGCCTAAACATACAGATTACCTACTAAAACAAACATATAAACATTCTTTATAGAATTTAAACAAGACTCAGGATCTCATAACGTAATAGTAAAAATGACCAGGACACTGTCCAAAATTACTTGGCAACACAAAGAAGCAGGAAAATCTCAACTTGTAAAGGAAAAGAAGCAACAGATGCAGAAAGCAACATGGCACAGATGTTGGAATTATTTAACAAAGATTAACACAGCTTACGAGCAATTTGTAAACAGTCTTGAAATAAAACTCAAAATAGAAAATATCAGCAAAGAAATAGAAGACATAAAGGATAATCAAATAAGTTTTAGAAGTGAAAAAAGAAAATAGCTGAACTAAAATAATTCACTGGATGGACCTGACTGAAGAAAAGATATGACAGAGGAAAGAGTTGGCATACATTATGTTAAGTCAACAGAAATTTATTTGAATCTGACCAAGAGAGAGAATAAAGATCGAAAAAAGCCCTGACTGGTTTTGCTCAGTGGGTAGAGCGTCGATCTGCGGACTGAAGGGTTCCAGGTTGGATTCCCAGCAAGGGCACATCCCCAGTGGGGGGTGTGCAGAAGGCAGCTGGTCAATGTTTCTCTCTCATTGATGTTTCTAGCTCTCTTTCCCTCTTCCTTCCTTTCCTCTCTGTGAAAAATCAATAAAATATATTTTTAAAAATTACCATACAAATTTTAGTCTGTTAGGGACAGAAGCTGAAAGAATATCTGAAGTTTTTCTCATGGGATTTATTTTTTTTAGTGATACAAACGACTCTGGTTAATAAAAGAACCCAAGACGCTGTTACCACTAACGCAGTGAGACCGTTATCAGTGCTGTGCTTTTGGGCCAAGCTCAGTAAGCAGGTGCTAGAGATAAACCATACCAGCAAAGTATCTCCCAGCGGGATCCACCTTCCCATCATTGAAGCGATTATTTTTCTTGTCTTCATCTATGGTGGCCAGGACGCTGGCTGACTGATCTTCCCAGTCCACGGCACAGAACTTCGTTCCAACTGTGGCGACATAGCCTCCGGCCTGGCGGAGGGCCACGGAGCTGACAGGGGCATCTGCAGAGGCAAAAGCAATTGTCAGGATGCAGCACGCAGCCCGGGGCCTAGCAGCACGCTGAGCCTATCCTGCCACCTGCCGTCTGAAAGAGGAATTGCAGCTCTTTCGACAGGGGTGTGCTCTCTTCCTTCTCTTGACCAATGAAGGGACACTTGTCCCTAATCAACTCCAGGCACCGTTCTGGACAGCAGGCACAGAGAGGTGAGTGAGAGCCAGCCCTTTGGAAGCTCCCGGTCTAGCAGAGAAGTAGAACCATAGCAGCCACAACAAGTTCAGAGGAGGATTGCTAACTGTGTGGGGGGTGGGGGTGGGGGAGGGGGAGGCACCCAAGCAGTTGTCACAGAACCAGAGATGCTAAATCTGTCCGCTCTCCAGGAAACGCAGAGACACGCTGTGTAGTTTCAGCAGCCAGGCTCTGTGACATGCCTCTCTCCTTCCGGTACAGGGCTATCCTCTTAAGGGGCCCTATTGCATTACAAATTACATACAAATTTAAACTTCCCCCTGACTGGTTTGGCTCAGGGGATATAGCATTGGCCTGTGGACTGAAGGGTCCCAGGTCAAGGGCATGTGCCTTGGTTGCAGGCACATCCCCAGTAGGAGCTGTGCGGGAGGCAGCTGATGGATGTTTCTCTCTCATCGATGTTTCTAGCTCTCTATCCCTCTCCCTTCCTCTCTGTAAAAAATCAATAAAATAGCCCTTTTCCCCCACCGGAGTTAGGCTCGGCCTGCAGGTCTGTGGCAAGCCGCGGCCGTGGGGCTCTCCTCCGCAGGATGGGGTTTGTGAAAGTCGTCAAGAACAAGGCCTACTTCGCCCAAGCTGGTTTGGCTCAATGGTAGAGCGTCGGTCTGTGGACTGAAGGGTCCCAGGTTCGATTCCAGGCAAGGGCATGTACGTTGGTTGCGGGCACATCTCCGGTAGGGGGTGTGCAAGAGGCAGCTGGTCGATGTTTCTCTCTCATCGACATCTCTCTATCTCTCTCCCTTCCTCTCTGTGAAAAATCAATAAAATATATTAAAAAAAAAAAAAAAAAAGAACAAGGCCTACTTCAAGCGATACCAAGTGAAATTCAGGAGACGGCGAGAGGGTAAAACTGATTACTGTGCCTGGAAACGCTTGGTAATCCAGGATGATAGTTCGCGTAACCAACAGAGATATCATCTGTCAGATCGCTTACGCCCATATAGAAGGAGATATGATAGTTTGTGCAGCTTATGCTCATGAACTCCCAAAGTATGGTGTGAAGGTTGGCCTGACAAATTATGCTGCAGCATATTGTACTGGCCTGCTGCTGGCCGGCAGGCTTCTCAATAGGCTTGGCATGGACAAGATTGATGAAGGCCAGGTGGAGGTGCCTGGAGATGAATACAACGTGGAAAGCATTGATGGTCGACCTGGTGCCTTCCCCTGCTATTTGGATGCAGGGCTTGCCAGAACTACTACTGGAAATAAAGTTTTTGGGGTCCTGAAGGGAGCTGTGGATGGAGGCCTATCTATCCCTCACAGTACCCAACGATTCCCTGGTTACGATTCAGAAAGCAAAAAATTCAATGTCGAAGTACATCAGAAGCACATCGTGGGTCAGCACATTGCAGATTATATGCCTTATCTAATGGAAGAAGATGAAGATGCTTACAAGAAACAGTTCTCTCAATATATAAAGAACAACGTAACCCCAGACATGATGGAGGAAATGTATAAGAAAGCTCATACTGCTATACGAGAGAATCCAGTCTATGAAAAGAAGCCTAAGAAAGAAGTTAAAAAGAAGAGGTGGAACCGTCCCAAAATGTCTCTTGCCCAGAAGAAAGATCGGGTAGCTCAGAAGAAAGCAAGATTTCTCAGAGCCCAGGAACGGGCTGCTGAGAGCTAATAACCAAATCACAATTTTCTATGATTTTTCAGAGACAATAAACATATTAAGCAAACAGAAAAAAAAAATCAATAAAATATATTTTTAAAAATTTAAACTTTATTTAAATTAAATAATTTGGATAGTAGTCTCCAGCTTCTTACCTGAAGGCGTTAAGGAAAGAGCCTATAGCACCTCATTATGGGAACACAGTGGGGAATGGTGCCCCCACTCACAGAGGAAGAGCGAAGTGTTGACCTTCCAGAATGTACTCCTGGGTCCAAGTGGGAGAACCACAGGCCTGGCTGATATTTTCCAGTGGGTAGAGCATCGCCCCTCTCACTGAAGGCTCACGGGTTCGATTCCTGGTCCAGAGCATGAACCTGGGTTGCAGCTTTGGTCCCTAGCTCTGATCAGGGTCTGTGTGGGAGGCAACCAATCAATGTGTCTCACATTGATATTTCATTCTCTCTTTCCCTCTTCCTCCCTCCTTCCCTCCCTCCCTCCCTCCCTCCTTCCCTCCCTCCTTCCCTCTCTCCCTTCCTTCCTTCCTTCCTTCCTTCCTTCCTTCCTTCCTTCCTTCCTTCCCTCCCTCCCTCCCTCCCTCCCTCCTTCTTTCCTTCCTCTCTCTCTAAAAGTCAATGGTGAGGATTATTGACAAAAGTGGAGGAAACAGACAGCTCGACAATCCAAGTTTTAAAGCCTATTCGGCTGTAACACGAAGGTCCCGGAGAAAAGATGGCTGGCTGGGTGGATCTGAGCCCGGCCTTCCTCCTTACCCAAAGTCACTCGATGAACCTGCTTGCTAAGCAGATCCCAGCGGCAAAGCTTCTTGGAAGGAATGTCCACGAAGAGCAGCGAGTTGGATGCTTCCTCCCACACCGGAGACTCCCCGCAGCGGCAGTGCTCCGGGAGGACACACTCAATGGTGACGGAGCTCATGGTCAGGGGATCTGTTGGGGGTGACAGACACAAACCGGAATGGGATCTCACGGAGTGGATTCAGGGAGCATCTGGCTCAGACCCTGGTGAGCTGCCAATGCAGACTGAGTTGTTTTTATTGGAACCAGAAAGGCTGGGCGCACTTTCCCCAAATCAGAACAAAATCTGTAACGTGACCCGAGGAGATGTGTCTGAACAAGAACTATGAGCTGGTAGGTGACAGCATGAGGCATCTTCATTCAACTCACCAGGGCTTTTCTTTAAGCTGTCTTTTATTATTTTTAAATACTGATCTCTGAACACATAATAATCTGGCCACTCAGTGTATATCCTATATAATAAAAGGCTAATATGCAAATTGTCCCCTCAACCAGGAGTTTGACCAGCAGGCAGGTTGGCCAACTGCCCATGTCCCCTCCCCCTGGCCAGGCTGGCCGGACCCCACCCATGTACAAATTCATGCACCAGGACCTACACACACACACACACACACACACACACACACACACACACACACACTGAGTGGCTAGGTTATTATGCGTTCAGAGATCATAATAATCTGGCCACTCAATGTATAATATTATTGATTTCAGAGAGGAAGAGAGAGGGACAGAGAGATAGAAATATCCATGATGAGAGAGAATTACCAATCGGCTGCATGTGCCCTGACCAGGAATTGAATCATGACCTCTTACTTCATAGGTTAACGCTCAACCACTGGGCAATACTGGCCAGGCCAAGGTATCTTGAGAGAGAGGAGAGAGAGAGAGAGAGAGAGAGAGAGAGAGAGAGAGAGAGAGAGAGAGAGAGAGAGTCCAAGATATTGGTGACCCTCAGAGAGCCAGATGCAAGGTTGCTCTTCATGCCAAACCCAGCCGCTGGTGGGGTGAGGGGCAGGGGGGTGCCCTCACTGCTGGATCCTCTGGGTGTCGGCAAGACAGTCACCTTCGCCTGCTACCTCCCATGCTTGATGCTGATTCACTCCCCTGACTAATCCTAACCGTAACCCTAACCCTAAACCCTAACCCTAACCCCTACCCCTAATCCCTAACCCCTAACCCTAACCCTAACCCTAACCCCTAACCCTAACACTAACCCAAACCCCTAACCCGAACCCCTAACCCGAACCCCTAACCCTAACCCTAACCCCTAACCCTAACCCTAACCTTAATCCTAACCCCTAATCCTAACCCTAACCCTAACCCGAACCCCTAACCCCTAACACTAACCCCGAACCCTAACCCTAACCCCTAACCCCTAACCCTAACCCCTAACCCCTAACCCTAACCCTAACCCTAACCCTAACCCCTAACCCTAACCCCTAACCTTAACCCGAACCCTAACCCTAACCCTAACCCTAACCCTAACCCCTAACCCCTAACCCTAACCCTAACCCTAACCCTAACCCCTAACCCTAACCCCTAACCCTAACCCTTCAGTCTGCAGGCCTAAGCTCTATCCACTGAGCAAAACCGGTTAGGGCCCAGGTTCTGGTCAAAGGCATGTACCTTGGCAGCTGATTGATGTTTCTCTCTCCTCGATGTTTCTCTCTATCCCTTTCTCTTACTCTCTGTAAAAAAAAAAAAAAATAATAATAATAATAATAAAAAAAATTAGTAAAATATATTAAAAAACAACAACCTGGGACCCTTCAGTTCCCAGGCCAATGCTCTAGCCACTGAACCACACTGGCTAGGACCCAAGGCTATGTTTTCATTGATTCTTAGAGAGAGTAGAAGGGAGAGGAGAGAGACAGAGAGAGAAACATCAATGTGAGAGACACACTGATTGGCTGCCTCCCCAGGGGGATCGAGCCTGCAACTGATACATGCCTTTGACCGGAATAGCACCCAGGGCCCTTCAGTCATTGGGCTGACACTCTATCCACTGAGCCACACCAATCAGGGAAAACTGCATTTTTGAAAAAAATATATGTATATTTTATTGAATATTTTACAGAGAGGGATAGAGAGTCAGAAACATCGATGAGAGAGAAACATTGACCAGCTGCCTCCTGCACCCCCCCCCCCCCCACACACACACACACTGGGGATGTGCCCGCAACCAAGGTACATGCCCTTGACCAGAATCGAATCTGGGACCCTTCAGTCCGCAGGCTGACGCTCTATCCACTGAGCCAAACCAGCCTGGGCTGCATTTTTTTTTTTTAAAGAAACAGCGCAGGCCCAATAGGCCTCAGTACCACCTGCGGCTCTTAGCACTGCAATCCTCCTGACTGTTAGGACTGCCCGGGCTCCAAGGCCGCGGGCTCTGTGTCTGAGATAAAGCTCACGATCAGGCTCGGGGCTTGCACAACAACAGCGGCTTTTAACCCCACCCTCGCTCCCTTCTGCAAGCAGGCGGGGGGTAGGCGTGGGGGGGCTGGCCCGTGTCTCTTTCCTGCCGTGGCCCCCAGAGGGCCCCAGGAAGGGGTCGTGGCTGACAGCTGGCAGCCCGCGGGCCGGGCTGGAGGGGGTGGGGTGCGGGAGCTGGGAAGCGGCTCGGCTGCACATGGGTCCCGGGCAGGGAGAGGGAGAGGGGGCCCTGGCGTCCCGAGGCCGCAGGTGGCAGCGAGGCCTGGAGCTGAGGGTGAGCCCACCTGGTGTCTCTGTGGTCGGGATGATCCAGTCGGTGCCCTTCCCGCTGGCTGCCTGAGCCGGTTCAGCTCGGCCTGTACCCAGACCTTTCTTCTCCCGCTGGGGGGGGGGGGGGGGGGGGGAAGCGGGCGGGTGACTTCTGGGCGGCTCAAAGGTCAGGCAGTGCAGTGGGGGGGGGGGCTGCCACTCAGAAGGTGGAGGGGAGGGGAGGGGAGGGGACCTGCAGGACCCAGAGCTGTCCTCTTCCGCCAAGGCGGGGTGGGAGGGAGGAGGGGAGGGGCGGGGGAGGGCGGGAGAGAAAGGCCTGCGAAGCCGCCGGGCAGGGAGGCGGGCTGCGGCATGGAGCTCAGGAAACCAAAGCTTTGGAGTTGGAGGAAAGCTCAGTTCCTCTCTTAGGCAAACATTGTTAAAATGCCCCACAGAGATCGGGTGGACGGTCAGGTCCAACAAGCAGGTCAGTAAGGAAAGAACGAAGCAGTTAAAGCCTCTCTTGCTAGTGGAGAATGATGGCTGAAGGCCAGCTCTTTTAAAAAAATATATTTTAAAAAATATATTTTTATTGATTTCATAGAGGAAGGGAGAGACAGAGATAGAAACATCAAAGATGAGAGAGAACCACGGATCCTACACGCCCCCTACTGGGGATCAAGCCCGCAACCGTGCTCATGCCCCTGATGGGAATCAACTTGGGACCCTTCAGTCCGAAGCCCAAGGCTCTATCCACTGAGCAAACCAGCTAGGGCAATTAGCTGATTGTTGACAAGGATATCAGTGCAATCCAGTAAAGAAACAACTAGCTTTTATTTATTTTAATTTTTTCAATGAAACCTACATTCAGTATTATTTCATATTGGTTTCAGGTGCACACATAGTGGTTCGACAGTCATATGCTTTACAGACTGTTCCCCCTGATATTACAGTTACTTCACGTCCCAATGACTTGTAACTACCCATCTGTTCTTCTCAATCCCTAATGGCCTTTTCAATATGTCAGCTAGAAATTCAGCCTGCAAAGGTAGCTGGAGGCTGTAAATAGGAAAGGGCAAAAAGAACAAGTCAAGCAAAAAGGTGACTTTGTGGCAGGCAAACAGCTGGGAAAGCCGCGGCCGCTAAAGAACAAACGGGAACGTTGGACTTCCTTGAAGCAGGAGCGGCTGCTCATCAGAAGGTGGGAGTGGAGGCCGCTGCAGGCCGGCGCACCTGCAGCCGGTTGTCTCCGACGCCGTTAAATGCGGCGCAGCCTGCGGAGGAGACAGGAGCCTGGCCGCGGGCTCAGCCAGAGGAGATGGAGATGCAGTTGCCTGAGGTGCCCATGGTGCACATCTTCTCCTTCCTGGACGCCGCCAGCTTGCTGCGGGCGGGCCAGGTGAGCAAGGTGAGTGCTCCCGTCTCCCCCCTCCCCGCCCCCTCCGCGGCTCTGTCTGAAGTGACCACACTGAGACCCCTCCCCTTGCTCCCTTGGCTCCCCCAGCATCACACAAACGGCCTTCCTTCGTTCCTCAACTTGACCTTGTTCAGGCTGGCATGCCTGTCCGTGGTTGAGTCTCTTGGCCACTTTGAGTGCCAATTAGCGAAAGAACAGAGCGGCACATGGAGTGTTGGGGGCGGGGAGGGTTAGCATCCTTCACTCTGACGTTGTCATGAAAATGACAACGGGATGCACGGGAATCCTTGTGCTGACGGGTGATTCTCGAAGCCCCGTGTCCAGCCCAGGAAGTCCCTCCGAACTTCCCAGGGGGACCCTGTCCGGCAGTGACTGCCTCTGCTGCCACCACGTCCCATGGGCCCCACCCGGGCAGCCCTGAGAGCTGGAAGGTGGCTCATTCCCCCTCCTCCCGTGGGCCTCGCTCCCAGGACAAATGGTAGCGAAGGAGGGGCCAACGTTTGGGTACCAACTGACTGCTTCCCTCCCCTTCTCTCTCTCAAGTACTGGAAGAGAATAGCGGATGAGGAGCGCCTTTGGAGGTGCGGGCAGGGGCGGAGGGCAGGAGAGGGCAGGAGAGGGCGGAGGGCAGGAGAGGGCGGAGGGCAGGAGAGGGCGGAGGGCGGGAGAGGGCGGAGGGCGGGAGAGGGCGGAGGGCGGGAGAGGGCGGAGGGCGGGAGAGGGCGGAGGGCGGGAGAGGGCGGAGGGCGGGAGAGGGCGGAGGGCGGAGGGCGGAGGGCGGAGGGCAGGGGAGGGGTGCAGACAGGTGTCCCTGGGGTTTGAGCGGAGGCTGGGGGACGGCAGGTGGGTGGGTGATGAGAGGCCCTAGAGGAGGCCGCAGCGGGTCAAGGTGGCTCCGGTGGGGCTCAGGGGCCCGGCCACCTGACGGGCTGTGACTCTTTCAGAAAGCTGTGCCAGAGGAGGTGGAGAATCTCCTGGGGGGGCCTGCAGGTGCCCTCGTGGAAGCAGCTCTTCCTCACCCACAGCAGGCGCGAGCGCTGCATGATGCGGGCCCGGCGGCAGGACTTTGCCTACAAGGAGTCCACGGACAGCCTCGGTAGGAGCGTGGGCAATGCAGGTCACGTGTTGGAGGAAGGGCACCGGTTTTGGTGTGTGCGCATGCGCTCATTCAGCGAAGAGGCAGGGAATGAAGATGTAACGGGACTGGGCTGCTGTGATGACAAGCTCTGGCCCCGCTTCCAGCCCTGTCCCCTATGGCCTCTGCTGCTCGGAGAGGCCAGAGCGATCTTTGCGCAACACAAACCTGAGCCCGGGACGCCCTTGTCCCAGAGGCTTCCCAGCCCGCCTAGAACGCAAATTTTAAAGGCAAAGGAAACATTTATTTTTATTGATTTCAGAGAGGAAGGAAGAGGAAGAGAGAGAGATAGAAACTTCAATGATGAGAGTCATTGATCAGCTGCCTCCTGCATGCCCCCCACGGGGTATCAAGCCTGCAACCTGGGCATGTACCCTTGACTGGGACTGAACCCAGGACCCTTCAGTCTGCAGGCCAATGCTCTATCCACTGAGCCAAACCAGCCAGGGCTAAAGGAAAAGGAAACATTTAAATAATAGTTCAAATGCTCACTTTATTTTTTGGTACCTCTTTTAAAATTCAGAACAGTTCTCTGATGCAGTAGTATTTAAAAAATATTTTAAAATTAATTTCAGAGAGGAAGGGAGAGGGAGAGAGAGAAAAAAAATCTATGATGAGAATCATTGATCAGCTGCTTCCTGCTCCCCACGATGGGGATCGAGCCCCCACCCTTGGCATGTGCCCTTGACTGGGAATCAAACTGTAATCTCCTGGTTCATAGGCCGATGCTCAAACACTGAGCCACGTCATCCGGGCATCTGATAGAGTGATTTTTATCCCCATTTCATATCTGTGGAAACTGAGATTAACCAGGAGAAACAAATCGACCAACCTCTTCCCAGTGGTCCGGTTTGAATGAATCTGGAGCCCAATTTCCATCCTATCCTTCACTAAGGTTGCAAACAACTCAAAATTATTGTTCCAGCCCTAACTGGTTTGGCTTAGTGGATAGAGCATCGGCCTGCGAACTGAAGGGTCCCAGGTTCCATTCCAGTCAAGGGCATGTACCTGGGTTGCAGGCACATCCCCAGTGTGTGCTGGAGGCAGCTGATCGATGTGTCTCTCTCATCGATGTTTCTAACTCTCTCTCCCTCTCCCTTCCTCTCTGTAAAAAAAAAAAAATCAATAAAATATATGTTTTAAAAAATGATTATTCCAGAATTCTCTATTCAATTGGATCCTTCCTCAAGAATCTGGCGGCCAAGTGTTGTCTGTGTTGCCTTCCAGGACTCTTGAAGCCTGTGGCGTATTTCTCAGGAAGTGACCCCTCCATGGGTGATCAGAAGCCAATCGTTTGCGCGGTGTCTTCCAAGTGCATGCTCTGCGCCTGGGACGTGCAGGAGGTGAGTGGCATCGAGCCCACAGGTAACGCCTACCCATGGCCACCCTGTCCCGCAGGCGGAGCCAGTGCCGGGAAGAAGATGCTGCTCCATTGGTAGCAGCACCAGTTTCCAGTGAGGTCTTCTAACTGGTATCCTGCCACCTTTTCATGTAGCACAGTGGTCGGCAAACTCATTAGTCAACAGAGCCAAATAGCAACAGTACAACCATTGACATTTCTTTGGAGAGCCACATTTTTTACACTTAAACTTCTTCTAACGCCACTTCTTCAACATAGACTCACCCAGGCCATGGTATTTTGTGGAAGAGCCACACTCAAGGGGCCAAAGAGCTGCAGGTGGCTCGCGAGCCACAGTTTGCCAACCACTGATTTAGACTATAGCATGTAGAGAATTCACTTTTTAATTTTTTTATCCTCACCCAAAGATATTTTTCTCATTGATTTTTTTAAAGAGGGTGTGGGAGGGAAGAGGAGAGAGAAAGAGGGAAATATCGATGTGAGAGAGACAGATCAATTGTTTGCCCCCTGCAAGGCCTCCGACCAGGGCCCAGGCCAGGGAGGAGCCTGCAACCGAGGTACGTGCCCTGAACCAGAATCGAACCCGGGACCCTTCAGTCTGCAGGCCAATACTCTATCCACTGAGCCAAACCTGGTAGGGCTTCATAATTCCTTTTTTATGTTCACCAGCCCTCAAAGAGTGGAGATGTGTAGCAGAATTTTCTGAATTCTATTCCCAGACAAAAATACACCTGCTTTGGAGGAAGCTTCCACATAGGCACTGCAGGAGGCATGCCCGCACGTGTGCAGAGCCCCCGCACGCAGACGGCATCACTCTCGTTCCCAGGGCCTCATGATCTGGTGCAGCCCCGCCCAGCCATCCGGCATCAAGTGCCTGGCCACCCTGCCGGAGAGGTCGCTTGCGTTCACGGGGGATGCACTGGGAACCATCAAAGTGTGGAACTGTCAGGATGAGGACCCTCTGGCGACGCTCACCTTGCCCTCAAGCTGCACTTCCATGGAGGTCTTCCTCACGGATGATGACAGCCCGGTCCTAATGGTGAGTGAGCCCCGCGTCTGGAGGGGCCATGGCGCCCACAGCGCCCGCTACCTTGGCAGGTCTTGGGCCCCAGGATGGCCACCTCTCAACCTGCCCTCTTCTCTTTTTTTTTTTTTTTTTTTTTTTTTTTTTAATGTATTTTATTGATTTTTACAGAAAGGAAGGGAAAGAGATAGAAACATCAATGAGAGAGAAACTTCAATCAGCTGCCTCCTGGGGATGTGCCCGCAACCAAGGTACATGTCCTTGACCAGAATTAAAACCGGGACCCTTCAGTCCACAGGCTGACACTCTGTCCACTGAGCCAAACTGGTCTTGGCTGAGCATGTTTTCATATGCCTCTTGGCCTTCCTTATGTCTTCTTTCAAAAAGTGTCTATTAAGGTCCGTTGCCCATTTTTTGATTGGGTTGTTTATCTTCTTTTGTTAAGTTGTATGACTGCCCTCTTGTTTTTTAAAAAAAATATTTTTATTGATTTCAGAGAGGAAGGGAGAGGGAGAAAGGTAGACACGTCAATGATGAGAGAGAATCATGGATCAGCTGCCTCCTGCATGCCCCACACTAGGGATAGAGCCCACAAGCTGGGCATGTGCCCTGACTGGGGATCAAACCATGACCTCTTGGTTCATAGGTCAATGTTAACTGCTGAGCCACACTGGTCGGGCCTTTTTATGTTGTTGTTTATCTTCACCTGAGGATATTTTTCCATTTTTAGAGAGAGTGAGAAGGAAACATCGATGTGAGAAAGACACATCAATTGGTTGCTGCCTGCATGTGCCCCAGCCAGGGCCAGGGAACCTGCAACGGAAGTACATGCCTTTGACCAGAATTGAACCCAGGAGCTTTCAGTCCTCAAGTTGATGCTCTATCCACTGAGCCACACCAGCTAGGGCTCAACCTGCCTTCTTGAAGCATCTCTATCATCACATCCTCTGAGAGTCACAATACATCACTAAATAGTGGCCATAGCAACCTGCATGCTATCTTGGCCTTTGTTATGCCTCAGGTACACTTCCTCAGTAATTCTTCTAAAAGGAAAACACCAACCTTCTTGAATTATTTTCTATCTAGTTTCTTCTTTCAAGTGTGTCTTATTGTAGAGGACATGAACTTGGACAGGGATGTCATGTAGGGAGAGACGTGGGTTCAGGGAGACATGGGGGAAAAGGAAGAGTGTTGATGTGCAAATAAGTCACTAGCCTGGAGTGCTTCAGGGCTTAGAACATTCTATTCCTTGGGATCATCCCAGTGACCTTGTGGGGCAGCTCATCAGAGGAGTTCATCTCCACTCTGTGATTGAAGAAATGGTGGCCCTGTCCTAGCTGGTGTGGCTCAAAGGATAGAGCACCAGCCTTTGGACTAGAGGTTTTGATTCTGGTCAAGGGCACATGCCTCGTTGCTGGCTCCATCCCCAGTGTAGGGCATGCAGGAGGCAGCCAATCCATGATTCTCTCTCATCATTGATGTTTCTCTCTCTCTCACTCTTCCTTCCTCTCTGAAATCAACAAAAATACAGTTAAAAAAAGAAAGAAAGAAACTGTGGCACCTCCCCCTACCTGCCAGGCTGCCTCCCGTTTGCCCTAGGGCTTCACATCCCCTTCCATTGACATGGTGGTGGGCGGTGCTTTGGTTTCAGATCGGTGACTCTGAAGGGGACATCCACACACTGACGGTGCCCGAGTTACAGAGTGTTTCTTGCGTGAATGCGTTTGAGTGCCCTGTGTTCTGTCTGTACTGCTCTCCCAACAAGAAGTGGATCTTTGCCTCTGGGACCCACGAGTTCATATTGCCAAAGGTAGGGGTTTCCCCGGGTGTCCCAGCCTTGGGAGGAGGGGGTCCGGGTTAGGAGGCTGGAGGCAGGAAGCATCAGCCAGCAGGCAGAGCTCAGCGAGGACCGGTCGGACCGCCCCTCCTCTGAAAGCCACAGAACATGTGGCCTCCATCCCTAGAGCCTAGAAACACTGCCCTGGGGAGCGACAGCATCCATTTGCAGAGACAAATGTCTGTGAGTGAACATTGGTGCATGGGCCTGGGCCAGCCGGAGAGATGGGAGAGGGCGAGAGAGAGACCAAGAAGTAGGATCTGGATGGCTTTGGCCGTCCTTCTGTGCTGCTTAGCTGCCTCGGCTGGACAGCCCAGAAGGAAAGAGCAGCGCACCAGCCTCTGAATGTCACTGTGAGAAGCTGTATGTGAACAGGCCTTGTTTTTATTTTATTTTTCAATCCTCACCCGAGGATATTTTTCCATTGATTTTTAGGGAGAGAGGAAGAGGGAGGGAGGGGCAGAGAGAAGCATCGATGTGAGAGACACATGGATTGGATGCCTCCTGCTCGAGCCCCCACCAGGGCCCAGGCCAGGGAGGAGCCCACAACCGAGGTCCATGCCCTTGACCGGAATGGAACCTGGGACCCTTCAGTCCAAAGGCCAATGCTCTATCCACTGAGCCACACCAACCAGGGTGAACAGGTCCTTTTACATGGCGCTTGTGCCTGGGCACCAGAGGGTAAGGAACTCGGGGAGGCAGCAGCACAGGCTGATCAGCCCTTGACAAATCCTCAAGAAGGGAGATCCTACTCGGCCAGCTTCAACCTGACTGGGGGTTGGGGGTCCGGTGTGGCCGCATTGGAACGCAAGGGAAGCTTAGGGGACTCTCTGTGTGTGACCATGACAACAGGATAGGAAGACAGTGAGTGACAAGCAATGACTATGCAACGCTTCCTGAGACTCAGAATAAAGCTTTGGAGGATTTTTAAAAAATTGATTTCAGAGAGGAAGGGAGGGGGGGAGAGAGAAACATCAATGATGAGAGAGAATCATGGATCAGCTGCCTCCTGCACGTCCCCCTACTGGGGATGGAGCCCCCAGCCTTGGTATGTGCCCTTGACCAGAATCAAACTCGGAACCCTTCAGTCCACAGGCTGACGCTCTATCCACTGAAGCACACCGGCCGGGGCCCCAGTGGGAAATCTGTAAGGAGGACTTCCTGGTGTTGCTCCCCCTTCTCCTGACTACACGTGCACTGGTCTCTCCACAGGTGTTTTTCACGGACAGCTTACTGAGACCACCCTTCGGCACGAACGCTCTGTTCGTCACTTTCCTGATGACATTTTGCACCCAAGTCTCCTGGGCCCTGAAGCGCGCAAACAGGCTGACAGTCATGTTACGAAAAGAATTTTTCGGAAGGGTAGAATTCTCCACCCTTGATATGACTGCTGAGAGCCCTGGGGGCAGCACCACCGTCAGCGGTAGGCTAAGCTGCCTTGTCTCTCCTGCCAGTCACACTCACACTCATGCTAGGCTATAGACGTCTGTACATAGGCCAACCTCAGGACAGGGCTGTGCCTGTCTGGCTGTTAAAAAACACACCACAAAACACCCACATTTTTATTGGTTTCAGAGAGGAAGGGAAGAGGAAAGACACATAGAAACATCAATGATGAGAGAGAATCATGGATCAGCTGCCTCCTGCATGCCCCCTACTGGGGATCCAGGCTGGGCATGTACCCTGCCTGGGAATCGAACTGTGACCTCCTGGTTCATAGGTGGATGCTCAATCCCTGAGCCAGGCCGGCTGGTGCCTGTTTGACTCTTAATGCCCATGCTTCTGACCTCCGTCCTCCTCCCCAACACCGTGCCCTTTTGGGAAAACATGCTTTGATTCCCATCATGCTTTAGGACCTAAATTCCACTGCCCCTTCTCTCTAGGCCTGAACTATCATTAATTGTGTACAGCCCTCCCTTCCCGTGTGATTGCACCGACCTCAGTCAGTGGCACACATTTTTGGGCCGCTGGCCAACCCTTCACTTTCCTCCCTGGACTGAAGTCCCCTGGAAGTAGGGAGTATATTTTTTCTTTTTTAATTTTTTTTTTATTGATTTCAGAGAGGAAGGGAGAGGGAAAGAGAGAGATAGAAACATCCATGATGAGAGAGAATCATGGATCGGCTGCCTCCTGCACGCCCCACCCTGGGGATCAAGCCTACAAATAGAGTGTGTGCCCTGATTGGGAATCAAACCATGACCACCTGGTTCCTAGGTTGACACTCAATCCTGAGCCATGCAGGCCGGACAAGAGTCTAATTTTTTGTTCAGGGTAACGACGTGGTTCTGACTACATACCCCCAAATCTGGCTGGTCATGTGTGCGTATGTTTTACATGAAAACAGGCCGTGAGATTGCAAGCTTCATCCTGGAAGATAATATAGATGCTCCGCAATGCATGGGAGCCTGTGATGGAACCACAGTTGTCTTTGATAGCGGGCCATACCTGCTTCTTGTCACCATCGATGGCTACCTGCTGCAAAAATTTCACCACCACCAGAATGTCATCTGCTCTTTATGGATGGTACGTATGACCTTCTCCTCCCAGCACTCAGGCTCCAACGTGGATGCTGGGCCACTTGCCCTGGGTCTCCTTTGCAGGACCCTGTCCACGTCCTCACCACATCCATGGATAACTACCTGCACCTGTACATGTGGGAAGAGGGAGCCTTTCACCCGCGCCTTCAGAGCTGCTGTCACCTGGAGCAGAGAAAGGATGACATGAGGCTGAACTGGTAAGCCCTGCTTTGTAACTTAAACTCTCCCTGACAATTTTCAATGTCTACATTAAACAGATTAATAAAGTGATACTAGGATAAAAAAAAAAGATTCTTTGCCTTGACCGATTTGGCTCAGTGGATAGAGTGTCAGCCTGGGAACTGAAGGGTCCCGGATTTGATTCCTGGTCAGGGCACATGCCCAGGTTGAAGGGTGGATCCCAGTTAGTGGCTGTGCAGGAGGCAGCCGATCAGTGATTCTCTCTCACCATAGGTTTTTCTATCTCTCTCTCCTTCTCCTTTCCTCTCTGAAGTCAATAAAAATATATTTAAAAATATTCTTTGGGGATATACACTGTTGCCAGATTATTATGATCTCTGAATACAGACTAATCTGGCCACTCAGTATATATATTAGCGGCCCGGTGCATGAATTTGTGCATGGGTGGGGTCTGGCCAGCCTGGCCAGGGGGAGGGGATATGGGCAGTTGGCCGGCCAGCCTGTTGGTTGAACTCCTGGTTGAGGGGACAATTTGCATATTAGCCTTTTATTATATAGGATATACACTGAGTGGCCAGGTTATTATGCATTCAGAGATCATTATAATCTGGCCACTCAATGTATATGACTAGACTCAAGCCCCCAAAGAGAATTGCTTCTTCTTGGAGTCCACATCTTTTGCAATAGATTTCAAAGGACTTTCCAAAATGGCTCTCAGTTTATGTTCCTGCAAGTGCTGTGTGAAGATTCAGCCTTGATGTCCCATCTTTACTTATAAGGTTCTTAGTTGTATTAGTTCATTAGTCATTTGAGTTGCTTCTTTCATTAACTGCCTTTATCTTTATTTTACTTATTTTTTCTAGATTGCTTGCCTTAATCTACATTGTTTTTCTTTTTTCCTTTTTAGAGAGAGTGTAAGGGAAGGAGGGAGGTGGGATGGGAGAGAGAGAGAGAGAAAGAATAAGAGAAAGAAATGTCAATATGAGACACATCATGTCTATGTGTCTCAATTTATTTAGATCTTCTTTGGTTGACTCTTGGAGGTGCTCCAATCCAGGCCAGGGATGGAACCTGCAACCCAAGTACATACCCTTGACTGGGAATCAAACCCATGACCCTTAGTGCGTGGGCTGACACTCTAACCACTGTCTGAGCAATAATTGGCATAAGTTTGCCAGGTTTACAGTTACTCAAAACCAAATCTAAAAGTAACTTCTGTGATCAAAGGGGCAGTTGATTTGAAGAGAATATTTATGTCTTTGTCAGATTCAAATTTAGTGTCGTCAACACTAGACCAACTTTCCCTTTCGTCCACTTGAGGATGTTCTTTTGTCTTTTGGCAGCGATTATCCCATAGCGATCTGTGACAACACAAGCATAGTGTGTGTGGTGTCAAAGACAGGCAGAGCCAGCTTCCTGGTGATGTATTCTTTGAACATGTGATACAGAAATGAATGCAGTTCATCTGGCATTGACTTCCTCATTATAATAAAGAGAATTCTATTTGCAAACCCAGATTGATTCTTTTAGTGATATTAAAAAAACCAGCAGTAATTTATAACGAATCAGAGGGTGGAGAAATATCCTTTGCTCATGCAATCAGGGAGAGAGTAAAATACTAAGGTAGCAGAATGTGAGTGATCACACAAACACAAAATTCCAGACAATTCCACAGAAGCATCTTTTAGGGGAAAGCATGGGTTTAAGGCTGGTTGAGGCTGGTTTAAAAAGGGAAGGAATGCCCTAATAAGTGTGGCTCAGTGGATAGAGCATCGGCCTGTGGACACAAGGGTCCCAGGTTCAATTCCGGTCAAGGGCATGTACCTTGGTTGTGGGCACATCCCCAGTAGGGGGTGTGCAGGAGGCAGTTTATCTATGCTTCTCTACCCCCCTCCCTTCCTCTCTGTAAAAAATCAATAAAAAATATTTTTAAAAAAGGGAAGGCACCTGTGTCAGGTAGTCAGTGTTCTTGCCTGTAAGGAACCAAAACAAAATCCTGTAAAACTTAAGCCAAAGGAGATGTATTAGAAAAATATAGAGGTTCATATTGAAACATAGCTAGAAGAGACTCAGGATATACATGGTAATAAAAATGCTCCAAAGGAGTGAGAAATGGAAAATACATCAAAGTCTCAATCACATGAATGTGCATATCCCCAGAGTCCTTGTAATGGATATGATAAAGAACTGCCCCCATTCTGTATCGTTAGCTCAGGATTCTGAGCTCTGGGAGCGAGTCCTATCCAATGAAGCCTAAAACACAAGGGCCTACTCTCCTCACTTTGTAGGGAGGAGAGGGTTGGAAGAAAGATGATCTGAGGGGTTATAGATAGTAATGTAATGGAAATGTAATCTCCACGGGAGATTTCTCCAAAGAGCCGTGTGGGTGTCTAAGTTAAGTGCCTACCATCCCCTCTCTGTAGAAACAAGTTTGAAGCTGTGACCAGGAGAATAGGGGAAGGAACGCCCACTGAAGGGTCTATGGAGAAGGGACCTGAGATGCATTGTAATCAGTCCCCAGTCTGATTGATTCAGAATCAAAGGACATCTATGTGGCTGGAGTCAGTGATGGGGAATAGACACAAAGACAAGGTGGAATGTCAAAGTGTCAATTCAGAAATTCGCAGGATGTAACTCAAATATTTAATACATATTAAGTTCAATGTAAGATTGTTTTGTAGCAAAGGAGAAAAAAGACCTATATTTTTTAGACCTGCTTTTTTAAGAAGTCTTTTTCATTGCTATTTAGAAAATTGATTTAAAAGTAGTCATAGAGCCCTGGCCTGTGTGGCTCTGTTTGTTGCGTGTTGTCCCGTTGCATGTTGTCCCATACACTGAAAGGTCGCCGATGCAATTCCCAGTCAGGGTGCATGCCTACTTTTTTTAAACTGCTCCATCGCTAAACAGGGTGTGTGATAGGCAGCCGATGGATGTTCCTCTCCCTCTTCCTTCCTCTTTCTAAAATAAAAGTATTCATAGTGACTGAAGAGGGCCAGTTGAGCCATTTTCTTTAAAAAAAATAGATTTTTATTGATTTCAGAGAGGAAGGGAGAGGGAGATAGAAACATCAATGATGAGAACCATGGATTGTCTGCCTCTGCACACCCCCTACTGGGGATGGAGCCTGAAACCTAGGCATGTGCCCTGATTGGGAATCAAATCGTGACCTCCTGGTTCATAGGTTGAAGCTCAACTCCTGAGCCACTTGAGCTGGGCAAGATCTGTGCGTTTTATTGAATGTATCGAATCCAAGATCAGTATTCCTCATTCTTTATATCTCTCAACCTAGTATCCCATTCCTTGCCATCTACACTCTCCTAAAACCCCTTAGTACACCTTAGTACCTGCAAATCGCAGTCATTATGACATCCTAACCCCCCTTTAATTTCCCAAAGAGGGAGGGCTGAAAACTAATATACAAAGGCACAAGGCTTTATTTAGGCAGGCAGCAGTTTCTGGAGGATTCCTAAGAATCCTGTTTAGTGTCCCAATAGAATGGCTGTGCAGGATTCAGGATAAAGTGATGTATACTGAGTGGCCAGATTATTATGATCTCTGAACACATAATAATCTGGCCACTCAGTGTGTGTGTGTGTGTGTGTGTGTGTGTGTGTGTGTGTGTGTGTGTATATATATATATATATATATATATATACACACACACACACACAATATATCATATACACTGAGTGGCCAGATTATAATGAGTTCAGAGATCATCATAATCTGGCCACTCAGTGTGTATCTTTTGAGCTGGGAAACATGAACACGTGTATCAGTACCTTGGAGTTTTATTGATTTGTCCACTATTAGCAGTACCCGATGTCTTTTCCATGGTTTGAGATAATGCAGAGGCAGCTTGGGTCAGTGTTTGAAAAATGCAGATTATACTGTTGGTGATAAATGCCAGTACAATGTTGAAGAGTAGTGAGTGCAGACATTCTTGCCTTATTCCTGATCTTAGAGGGAACATATTGTCTTTGACCCTTAATATGTTAGCTGCAGGTTTTCCATAGACGTCCTTTATTGAGTTCAGGAAGTTCTCTTCTAAGTTTGCTGAGCATTGTTATCAGGAATGAATATTAAATTGTGTAAAATGCTTTTTAAAAAATAATATTTGTATTGATTTCAGAGTAAGGGAGAGGGAGAGATAGGAACATCAATGATAGAGAATCATTGTTCCACTGCCTTCTGCATGTCCCACCCTGGGGACCAAGCCCAAAACCCGAGCATATGCCCTGACCTGGAATAGAACCATGATCTCCTGGTTCATGGATTGACAATCACTGAGCCACACCAGCCGGCTATTTCTTCCTGAACGTGCTTTGGTAGTTTGTGTGTCTGAGAAAGTTACCCATTTCATCTTCATTGTCAAAATCACTGGCATAGTCTTATGTATATAAAAGCCTAAGTGGGCAGATGCTCAATGCAGGAGCTGCCCCCTGGTGGTCAGTGCACTCCCACAGCCAACCTCCCTCGGTCCCTCCCCCAAGCTGGCTGGCCAATCTCCTGTGGTCCCTATCCTGAGCCGGCTGCACTGATTGGCCCCAATTGCTGGCCAGGCCGAGGGACCTCACCTGTGCACGAATTTGTGCACTGAGCCTCTAGTTTGTTTATAACATTCCCATTCATATATATATATATGTATGTATATATATATATATATATATATATATATATATGTATGTATGTATATATATATATATATATGTATATATATATATATATAAACATTTTTATTGATTTCAGAGAGGGAGGAGAGAAATATCAGTGATCAGAATCATTGACTGGCTGACTCCTGCATGCCCCGCCTCCCCCCACTGGGAATTGAGCCCTGGACCAGAACAAACCAGGGACCCCTCAGTCCACAGGCTGTAGCTCCATCCACTGAGCCAAACCGACTACGGCTCTCAAATCTTTTTAATATTTGTAGAATCTGTAGCAATGTCATTTCTCTCATTTTTAATATTAGTAATTTGCTCTATGCCTAGTTATATGTTTCCTATTTCTGCTATAACAAATTACTGCAAATTTAGTGGCTTAAAATAACACAAATTTATTCCCTTATAATCCTAGAAGTCAGAAGTGTAAAGTCATGGTTTAGGCAGGGCTGGATTATTCTGGATACTTTAGAGAATTAGTTTTCTGGACTTGTTTAGTTTCTAGAAGCCATCTGCATTCCTTTACTCATGCCCTCTTAGCACAACTTCAACCTCCCACTGGAAAAATAGACATCGGGATAAACCCAAAGCTCTTGTTGGCTATGACTGGGTGTATTTGTAGCTTCAGTTGTCCAACCTTTTACCTAATGATTTACTGAATCAAAGCAATCTATTAATGGAAGGAGGTGGGAGTGAGGGAGAAAGGGGGAAATACTTTTTTTAAATTTTCATTAGTGATTTCTCAAATGATCTTTGGCAAGTTCAGTTTTTAAACATAATGAAAATGTTTATGATGGCCTTGAAATCCCATATTACACAACCTCTATAACATTAATATACTCATATGACTCCAAATAGAATGAATATTGTAAAGGTGCATATTCAAGTGATGGCTGATCTAAGCCTTTTGAACTTTGTGACTGTAGACAGGATCCATTTCTCTGGTACTTTTATTTTTATTTTATTTTTAAAAATTTTATTTTATTTTTTTCCATCACCATTTATCCCTTCTGTGCCCTCTTCCATCTCCACCCACTCCCTGGTGATTTTTAAAATGATAATCCTAAGGTTTTTTCTGATCAGCTTAATGAACCCATGATTTCTGGTAGAGTCTAAGTCCTCAGAGTTCTCTTTGGCCCCTGGTATTGACACGAATCATGAATTTGTACTTCTAAACATTAAACCCCTCCTCCTTCCCTTCCCCCCACCATCTGTTTTATTTAGTAACATTCCTTAACTATAACAAGCACATATGTAAGATTTTATAGAACCCATTCACGAACATAAAAAATAACCACACTGACAGCAGTTAACAGTTTTCATAATTTAATGAAAAAGTATTGGTAAAAAGGTGACACTTGAAAAAAGACCGAGTTTATCTTGGAAAGCTGGACTACTATATAAGACAAAATGAAAAAAAAAAAAAAGAACAAAAAAGGTTAAGAGGTAATACTTCAAACAACAGCAAAATGTAGCAAATACATTTTGGGGCAATTGAAATTTACACAACTGGAGGCTCCTTCATTTGCTTAGGAAAATCCTGTAAAAATATTACAACTGTATTTCCCTGACTGAAATGATTTTAGTTAATACTCTCCCAATGGCATTATGTATGGGCTTTTGGCTGAAGCACTTTTTCAATGTTTGCTTTCCTTCCACGCTCTCATCAGTAAGAGGTATGATGAGACGCAGGCTGCTGTAAGACCTCTAACAGAAGGAGTTTGACACAGCTCCACTGTCATGTCATTGCCCGGAAAAGGTCAAATCAGCACCCATCCAGGAGAACCGAAGAAAAAAGGCGCGCAGACACCCAGTGCACAAATAGGAGAGATTCTATTCCTCCTTTGGACAATTCGTAGCTCTTTCCATTCAAACAAAAATACAGGACACCTCCCATACATGCTAGGGCATGTTCATACATGTACACAGGCACAAAAGAAACATGTTGAAGGTATGACCAAAGATTGGGCAAAATACAGAAGTTTTCAGCAAACGAAGCAAAAACAAATGCAAAGACAACCATTAACAAGGCTACGAGAACAAAGGCGGGGAGAGGACGCTGACACATTCCCTGTGTTGAGGGCCCTGCCTGCCTGCCTGCCTGGCACCTACTCCAGCAGGACTCCTTCACTGTGGAAACTCTACAGCGGCCTCTCTTGTCTGAAAATTCCCATTACACTTCCCCACACCAGAAGAAAGAGAATATTAAGTTAAGGCTAAGAAGAGAGAGCAGAGGATTAGAGTTGGCTTCACATTTTGAAAATTGTAATGTTTTCTCTTCCTTCAGATGGGAAGCAGACACGCTTATCCCCGCCCCAGATGATAGTTTGGGAACACGACATAAGCAACTTCTGAAAAATGGCTCCGGCCTTTTTGTTTAGTAAACGGATTCCGATTCCAAGTTAGTACAAAGCTAAATTATACCCATGTGTTAAACACATGCTCTCAAATTGTCTGACAATAAAAATCTGTTTCAAAATTAAAGCAGGTAAGAATACTTAACCTCTGTGCACTCTTTTATATTTTAATTATACCTCAATAAAATTTTTATAAACATTAAAGCAGGTATACAAAAACTATCAGCCAACCTTATGGAAGTCAAATTCACTTGAAAACAGTAACACAAGACCCCTGACCTGGTACAGATCCCCCAGAGATGATCTCACTGTGGGGAAGGCTCTGGGGTCTCCTGCACACACAGAATCCGAGCATCTTCCTCAGAAGTAGTACTTTTGTAAACACTATCCACAAGTTAGCTTTTCACGCTTGTTAGCTGGGTGAGATGGTTACAAGTGTGTCCCCGACAAGCAGGTGCGGGGACAGGCACTGGACACAAAGACGAGTTAGTAGTAGTGAACTGGTCAGTTAAGGTCCTCTGAAAGGAGCTCAACCATGTGCGGAGCACAGGAAGAGGGCAGTGGCTTTGACAGTATCTGAGATGTTGGTCCCTGGTCTTTCCCTGAGGGTTTTCAGATGCCAGTCGAGTTAGAAACCTCCCACAGACAGCTCTGTGAGTCCCACGCTGTGGCTTCAAAGGATAAGTGGTTTTAGTGTCTGATCATCGCCGTCTCTTGCAAACGTATTAACAACGCGAGAATTCTTAACACATATGCACATCAACGTGTTGATATAACTGGAAAGCCGCCTCCAAGTATTTACCGAATAAATACCCTGGGCCCAGCTGTTCTCAATAGTCTCTGGCAAAACAACTCTGGGGCAATCTGCAGTTCTCCTAATGTCTTATGCAAACTAGAAACTGGTTCAGAAACGATTAACTGTGGAAACGCTTTTATTCTTTCCACCCAAATGCCTTTCCAACATGTGCCAGAATCCTTGTGGTGTGTGGGGTTTCTAGGACACATGAGGCGAAGGCATGGATGGAGCTGTTCCTGGAAGTTGTGAGTCACCTGTGCGTTGAGCTGTGGGAGAAGGGGTGTGGCTTCTTCCTTTTCCCACTGCAATCCCGCTTAGCGTCGCGGGGCTGCTTCTCCCTGCCTGAGCCCTCTCTCTTGACCCTGACCTTCTCTTTATTCCCATCACCTTCTGCTTCTGAATCGCTCAGCTCCAGGTCTGGGCAGTACCCATCGTTTTCCTGATCGGGAGCCCTCTCTACGGAGCGCCGGGCCAGCAGCTTGGCCCGGGCCTGCTCCCGGGGGCTAGCACTCTTGGCGGGCTTCCTGCGGCTCTGGAGGCCGTCCACGGTCCGCACCCACCAGGTGGCGGACTCCTTAGGGGACTGGCCGAAGTGTTCCGCGAGAGGTTTCTGGAAGCTGCCCTGACTGGCCAGGTGGGGGCTGAGCGCAGCCTCCTGGCCACATGACATCTCACTGGAGCTGTCTTTCGGGGAGCTATCCCCGGACCAGCTGGTCTCCAGGCCATTGGCTTTGGCAAGCGTGGAGTGCGAGTGCTTTTCCCCATTTCCCATTAGGGACTGTCTATGCAGGGCAGCTTGGAGGACCAGGGGCTTCCCCAGTGAGTGCCCCTGGTAGGCCTCCGGAGAGGGAGCCGTCCAGGCCGGACTGGAATCCTCTGATTCGTGCGAGTGCTTTTCCCCATTTCCCATTAGGGACTGTCCATGCAGGGCAGCTTGGAGGACCAGGGGCTTCCCCAGTGAGTGCCCCTGGTAGGCCTCTGGAGAGGGAGCCGTCCAGGCCGGACTGGAATCCTCTGATTCGTGCGAGTGCTTTTCCCCATTTCCCATTAGGGACTGTCCATGCAGGGCAGCATGGAGGACCAGGGGCTTCCCCAGTGAGTGCCCCTGGTAGGCCTCCGGAGAGGAAGCCGTCCAGGCCGGACTGGGATCCTCTGATTCGCCCCTAACAAGGCCCAGACTGCTGGGGAAACAGTGGCTGCTGCTCTCTACTGCGTGCCTCGGGTGGGATTCCACTCTCATCTCTAGTGACTCCGGAGGCACTGGCGCGCTCCCCAGGCTGTGGGCAGGGGAGCTGCTGGCAGGAGAGAGGGGTCCATGATCAGTCTCTGCGGAGCTGTTTCGGCAGTCTTCCGGGGCTGATCTGGGCATTTTTAACTTTAAGGTAATTCTCGGTGGTGGGTAAAACAATGAGGATTCTAGTGCATTTTTCAAAGGAGATCCTGAGATCAAAAAGAAAGATTCATTTTAACAACGGATTCAAACAACGGTGTACATGCCCACGGCAGAGTGCATTCACATATGAATTTGTCTGACAAACACCTGACTCTGACAGGATGGACACCATGACCTTGTAGCAGGAGGGAGCTGGCCCAGAGCTGGGGGGGGGGGGGGGGGGCGGAACTCGGCAACCTCACCTGCTCTCGCCGCCTGGAAAATGGCACAGGGACTAGCGTGCTGCCTCCTCATCCCACCTGTGCCCTCTCCGTTTCTGAACAGAAGGCACTAGCGATGGCCATAAACAGGGCCCCTGTTGTCTGTCTGCATGTGTGTGCCTGTGTGTGGGCACTGCGCAGAACTTAGCATGTGCCTTAAACATTTCAGATGCCACCCTCCAGTCTCCTGGCTGTTTTGAGGCAGGTCAAACATTAACCCTCGGGAACACAGCACAGGCGTTGGTGGGTGAAGAATACATGATTGCAGGCTTTAACATGGCACCAACAGAAATGGTAATGGTGGGTCCTATGTATTGTATGTCCTGGCAGGAAAGCATCATGACATCCCTGCCAATGGCTGCAATAAGCTTAGTCTGGGGAGTGCTGGCAGTCAGTCACCGGGTTGTGCCATGTGCAGTCACATGTAGGACAGGTGTTCCTCTCACTCGGAAACAGCACTACCGGACAACTCCTTCTTGCGTAGGGACTTGACCTTTGCCTACTGCCATCTTAATGCAGCCTCACAAAACTGTCACATGGAGAAGACAGCTGTTAGGCGCCCCAATGGGTAGAATCTGCCCCCTAAGGGCCCATTTGAGTGCTCACAGCCCCTTCTCTACCAGGGGCTGCCGCCTCTGATGCCACAAGCAGTTATGTGGCTAGCTCCCACCAATCAGAAGCCACATGTCTAGGGACGAATAGAATGTAGCATACAGGGGCTCCTCTCTGCTGCTGTCTTTGGTTCTTCTTGTCTCGTCTGTCACGTGCTCTTGTGGCTGAGAAGCCTGTTGCTTCCTGCTACACCAACCTGTTGTGACCCATGACACTAAAAAATACCCCGAGCCCTGATGCCCACCTGACACCTAATTTCTGGGCGTTTCTCTTGCTCTACGGCTGGGTTCTGCACACTCTGCTCAGTGACCCCTGCTTGCCCAAGCTCCGCCACCAACTTCTGTGTTACATGAAGTCGGGAGGCTACACATGTCACTGAACATGACTCGTCATTCCAGCCAAGCTCCCAGGCCTAGGGCACTGTCATGTTCGCCAGTCTCTCTGGTTCATGGGCAGCACGCCCTGCAGCAGGGACTCTGTCTCGATGGTTATCTTCTAGCTCAGCTCTTAGTCCACAGCAGGTGCTCAACAACTACAGCGGTTGGCAAAAGTAGGCTTACCGTTGTGAGTGTGCAAAACCGAATTTATTCTTATATTATGTATTAATTATTGTATTATTTTTTATTAACCTACTTTTGCCTACCCCTGTATCAGCGAATAAGTAAAGAGATAGGAACCCGGATCTCCTAACTTCTAGCTAAGGGTTTGTTTTAACAGACTATTGTTTTGATGGCTAACACCGGAGTGAAATGTTTTCTGGAAACTAGGGTTAGATATTGTCCTCCGGATTTCTAAATAAATCCAATAATTACAAAATAATTCTATGGCTCCATCTAACGGCTCCTAATCTCTGGGTGGGGCCTAGATTACCTGCCTTAGATATGCAACTCCTTCAGCCGCACCCTGGGATTTGCTGTCTTAAGGTGACAGCTAAACAGGCCACGCTATGTCAGGCTGGACTAGAACAAATGAGATCCTGGACAAGAATTTTAAAAGATTTTTTAAGTGAAACGATTGACATACAGTTTGAACTGTTGAAATGGGATGCAACCAGATCTGTGCATTTTCTAGAATATCTTTGAGTTACTCGTTACCTTCGGCTGCTTCCTCGTTAAGCATCTGGACTTGCAAGCCGAAGATCTGCTCTTGTGTTTTGTTTTGTGACAGCTTCAGCTTCTCTCGTCTGGTTATCATGTAGCACAGATTGCGGACCTGCAAGCCCAACCCCCAGCAAGAAGAGATCTTTGTTACGCGATGCAAATCTGACCATTAAAGTTGTTTAGCTAAAATTCAGACAACTAAAGCCAGATGGGCTGGCGGTGAGGGGGGGAAGGGGGAGAAGATGGTGAGGAGAGAAGACGCAGCCCAGAAGCTGCACGAGAGAGAGAGGAACTCCACAGCCATGCACACACACAGCCAGCCACGGGATCCCGGTTCCCGTGTCAGTCAGCAGCACAAGCAAACGTTTCCGAGCCGCCTCTGGAACCCTCCTCCCCCTGCCGGTCCTGGGCTCGATGCTTATCTGCACACTCAGGTGGGAAGACTGAACGGTGACTTCACATCTCACCTTTGGGTGCCTGGGTGAGCAGGGGCAATACCGGGCCCAGTGCAATTTCCCAGTGAGCGCTGGGCCGGCAGGAGAGAGGACTGCTAGGACACTGGAAGTGGCCTCTGCTCACAGCTCTAAGGGGAAATCCTCATGGGTCATGCTCCCACCCGGACTAAATACTCCACCTTCTGCACCCCAATTTATGCATCAGTAAGCAGGGATAATAACACTTTCTTCATAGGCATGTTAGGACTACATGACTTAATATTCACACGTAGCAAGTGCTATAAATGTGAGTGACAATTTAAAGTGAGGCAACTATATTGGTTTCCTTCCAAATTCTGGGAGCAGAGAAAAAACCAGGCCATCTCTATAATTATCCAGGACTAGAGGCCCGGTGCACGAAATTCGTGCAAGACTAGGCCTTCCTTCCCCCACTGCCGGCACCCGGCCCGGGGCTTCCCTCGCAGCCCTGGCTTCGTCCAGAAGGATGTCCGGTCTAATTAGCATATTACTTTCATTATTATAGGTTATAAAATTCTCTAGGGTAAACACACAGCCTAGCTTATGTTTGAACCCCTGTAGTACCGACTTAGTAGTTACCTGATATATACACATCCTGAGTTACATGGAATTATGTGGACCCATTTTTGTTGTCACAGCTGGGAATGGGGGTTGCTACTAGCATCTAGCGGGCAGAGAGCAGGGATTCTGCTGAGCATCTTACAGTGGCTGCTACAACAAAGGACAGTCCCCTGCAACAAAGGATTATCTAGCACAAATGTCAACAGTGCCGAGTTAGAGAAACTCTGATCTAGCGCTTTCCTGGCCCAAATTCCTCCTTTCTTAGGCAGCTTCAGTGAGGCTCAATAGTGAGTAAAAAGCGAACCAAATGAGGATGTATTTCAGATTTCACAGAGAATATAAATTAGGGCTAATTCCCCGAATGTGCCTGCCAAAATGGAAACAGAGTCCAATGTCGGGGCCACAGTGAAATCAGAATACCAGGACACAGCAGCCCACACCATAAGTGAGATGACTTTAACGACACCTGGCAGTGGGACCCCATTCTATGCGGACGGTCCCCTTACCCGCTCCAGGTCCTGCCGCAGGTGCATGAACATGCTCATGCGGGAGTGCATATCCTCCGCCTTCGGCTGGGGTAAGCCCTTCTCCTCCTCCTCCTTCGGTGGAAACAGCGGCTTATTGAAGTTGCTCTTGCGTTTCAGCTTCCAGTAGTTGTAGATCAGGTCCACCGTGAGGGTGGGCATGCCCAGTTCTGTGGCCACGTCCGACACCTTGACTAGGTTATAGAACTCCTCCTCCAGCTCCTGCAGCTTCTGCGCGCGCACGCTGGTCTTCTCACTCGGGGCCTGGCAGAGGGTGGACTCGGCATCGCTGGGCTTCTGCCGGCTCTCGCTGTGCTTGAGGCAGAAGGACCTGAATCTCACTTCGTCGTCCTCGCCCAGGATGGTCTTCATCTCCAGGTTGTGCTCGAAGGCGCAGGTGACGTGGAAGGCGGTGATGCATGTCTTCACGGAGCACTGCGGGGGGGAGGAGGGTGTTCAGGCAGCGGGGCTGAGGGGGGAGCCCTGCACCCCTGGGCCTACACTGAGACCCCCTGGGAAGCAAAGGGAAGGCGGGGGAGGCTGGTCCTACATGGATCAGGACAGAGGCCCTGGAAGTGCCCCAGAAGTCTGCGGTTCTGGAAAAGGGCAAACACAGAGGCAAACAACCAACTCCTCAAATCCCAACTCCTCTTTAAGGCTTAACGCGGCACTGAGTTTGTCTGAGACATGTTCCTTGGCCCCTGTAGAGTCATGCTATACCTAGTCTGCCTCCCACATTACCACATGCTATGCTTCCATGATGGTACTTTTGCCTGGCCGGCACGGCTCAGGGGTTGAGCATTTACCTATGAACCAGGAGGTCACGAGTCGGTTTCCGGTCAGGGCACATGCCTGGGTTGTGGGCTTTATGCCCAGTGTTGGGGCCTGCAGGAGGCAGCCGATCCATGATTCTCTCTTATCGTTGATGTCTCTCTCTCTCCCTTCCTCTCTGAAATCAATCAGTATATTTTGTAATGGTATTTCCACACTAAACCCACAGCACAATAAAAGTTAACAGGAGGCTGTCCCTGGGAGGGAGAGTCTGGGGGCTCGGTGTTAGCCCGCTCCACCACTTCTCGCGGGGACTCACCTGAATGCACGCCCCTGTCTTCACTTTGCATAAGTAACAGACTAAGCCCCAGCGGCTGTGTGGGATGTGGGAGATCTTTGTGATTGGTTCCATCCGTTCCGGGGAGCCAATGCTGACCTGCAAGTGAAATACCACCATGAGGCAGACACGCCGAGGTATTCCCCTAGCACCTTCCACAAAGCACAAAAGATGCTACGTGAAGCTCAGAACATCAACACAATGAGGCAAGCCATGTATCTTAAGGTTACTGTGGAACAAGAGTAAATAAAACCTGTCTCTAGTCACTGCTCAGACCTTCAGTCATTTCCAGAATGTAAGTGGTTTACATATAGAATGAAAGGGCGGACTGAAGACCAGGCTCGGCTACTTTAGGGAATCAGATGTCTATACTTTACTTAGGAATCGAAGAAAGTTACCAAGGAAAGGAATATAAATCCACAAAATCTAGCAGCTATCATGATAGAGACGGTGCCACAGGCTTTGCTTTTTTCCATTTAATCCACTAAGGATGAAACCCAGAGGCAGCAACAAGCCCTTCAGCATGGCTTACAGAGAAGCATGCCACTGCTGGAAAGTAGCGGTAATTTGTATAATGAAGAGATTGTAGTACAAAAGTAGAAAGGGTAAGGATAATACCATTTGTAGACTAAAGTCTTTAAAATCACACGCCATTAGCTTACTTTACTCCCTTTGAAAGTCTTACCTCTGGAATCCACAGGGCACAGCTGACATGAGCCCACTTAGTCCCCGTCTTGTTGGACTTCATGGCTCCACCTTTCTTTGGGCAAAATATGCATTGCGCAGGCACGCCCACGACACAGGCGCGGCACAGCCAGCTGCCTTCTGGCACCTTGAGGATGCCGTAGCAAGCCTGGGGAGAGCAGGACAGGGGAGAGTGGTTAGCATCATCTCACCGGGGTCTGTGTCTGCTCTCTGGTACAGTTAGGAAGGACCCTCCCCCTTTAGGAAGAAGAGGCAATAAGACCAAAACAGCTCATATCCAGAGATCAGTCATTTTAAAACACTCAGGGGAAAAAGGCGACTTCTAGCATCTGTCCTAGGATCAGCATGTCCATGCGCAGGAACTGACTTTGAGGACAACAGAATAAAGACTCGAAGGAAACACAAGCAAGGCTAGCCCAACTGCTCTCTGAGTTTGGGAATTACATATATTTTTTTCTTTCTTGCCCCAGTTTTCTAAAGCTTCTTCAATGATTATTACAGTTGGTCAGTCATATTTATGGAATAACTTCTACATGCCATGCAGTGTTATGATCAAGAAAAAAGTATGAAGCCCTAACTGGTTTGGCTCAGTGAGTAGAGCGTAAGCCTGTGGACTGAAGGGTTCGGGTTTGATTCTGGTCAAGGACACGTACCTAGGTTGTGGGTACATCCCCAGTAGGAGGTGTGCGAGGCAGCTGATTGATGTTACCCTCTCATCGATGTTTCTAACTCTCTATCCCTCTCCCTTCCTCTCTGTAAAAATCAATAAAATACATTTTTTTTTTTAAAAAGAAAAGAAGTATTAAAAATAATTACAGTGAAAGTTCTGAGGAGCAAATGAGCTGATGTGTAAAGGGCTAACAGTGCCTGGTACATAAACACACTCGGCATATTGTAGCAATTACTTGCTTGGGTTGAAGAAAAGGGCCTTGTGAATAAATCCGGAATTGAATATAATATTAGACCAATCACTATACTCCATAATGAGTTCTGGAAGCTGCTTCAAATTCTTTTTGGAATGAGGTCGGACAAATAAATAGATGAATTACTGGGAGAGGAGGGAGATTAGTTTGGAAATTCTAGGTTTCCCTTTCGCTACCTGTGACTTTGCCCATCCTCCCCCTTACTGCTCTCCTCTCACCATTAGAGACCAAACCTGGGCCACCTGGCTTCCCGTGTGGGCTGGTACAGCCTCCACCACTGATTGCTTCACCATGGTACCTTCCAATCCTGCGCCCGCTCCAGGAGTTCACCCACAGCTCACACAGAAGTTAACAACCGTTACCATTGCATCACACTCCCACCCAACTGGCCCTTTTCCAGACTCTCTATCCGTATCACCATGCTTCCCACCTTCCAGACCAAATCCTTAGTCTTGTATTATCCACCTTCCTTCATCTACTGTCCTGGAGCTGGTTAGGCCACTCTTCTGAGTGACCCTTAGACTGACCTTCCTTGCCATCCCCACCATAACTGCACCATCCAAGTCAGCATAGCGTGTGTGTCTACATTAATTTATTTCTGAATTATCTTCTGCTCCCTTTACACCTTCAACCCTTCCTCTGTTTGTCTGTCAGATTATTCTGATATGCCACTGCACAGCAACAAACCCTCTAGAAAGTCCTTCTGCTCTTACCCTCGCTCCCTCTAACCCAGAGGTTGGGCAAACTACTCAAGGCCCGTCTTGTAAAGCCAAACAAACTGAGAATAATTTTCATATTTTAAAAGGGATGTTTTTAAAAAACGTAACACAGAAACTGCATTGGCCCTCCAAGTCTAGAATGTTTACTGTCTGGCTCTTCAAAGAAAACATTTGCTGGACCCTGCTTTACGGCCCGCTGCGCCTCAACTCTCAATCTGCACCCTCTACTCTATAGTTTCCCTCCCCAGATATGTGGTCTGTGTCATGTAGTCTTCTCTACTTAGGCTATAATGCTCCATCTCCTCAGTGAGATTGGAAGGTCACTGGAGGTAGTCCTTTACCATCCATTTATCTCAAATTCGCTCTCTCTCTATGTGAAGCCCGAGTCGGTGGTTCGGAAGAACAAATTAATTTAGCTCAAGAACGGAAGCTGGACTCCAACCAGGCTGCCCACACAGGGTTCTTCACTTTGAAATCTTTCCTTTCTCTGAGGCCGGAAAGATCACCAGGAAAGTAAAGCAAGCTTCTTTCCATAAGCAGAGCCTCTTCCAGTGGAAGGAAGACCAAAACCAATGCTGATTCAGAACTTTATCTGCTGGCCATTCTATCGGGTAGAAAATCATTTACCGGGCCTTGTGTACTCATGGTCACAGGATCATAGAAGCTTTTATTTCATAGCAGTGGTCCTCAGCTTTTTCTAGACCACAAATGACGAAAGCTGTGGACTCTCTTGAGAAAATTGCACATGCACATGAACACATGTTTTCAATATAATTTCAGGGGCATAAACTCTGCCAAACATGATATACTAATACGTGACAGATAGAAAAAACTATGAGCATGTACCTTCAGGCAATTAATTTAGGTCTCAGTCTGAGTATTCAATACCTGGGCTGAGAAGCAGACAATGGAACACATAAAGGGACTTGGAATGATCTCCATTTTCATAGTTTTAATGAAAAAATTTCAAGTTCATTGCTAAACTCTGAAGTCTGTTGATGCAAATCTCTCTTCTAAAATACTGACCATAAGTGTATTATAGGTACAGAGGAACAAACACTTGACATAATATGGTGGCAGTAAAGAGGCAAAATTATGTTTACTACCGTATTTTTCAGACCATAAGACGCTCCGGACCATAAGACGCACCAGTTTTTAGAGAAGGGAAATGAAGAAAAAAAGATTCTGAAACAAATAGTGTCCTAAAATATTTTATGTGCATTAAAACCCAACATCACAGTCATAAACACATGTAATCAACCCTGTAAAGTAAACAGCAGCATTTAGAACCATTTTAGAGCCGGGCAAGCACACAGAGACCACACAGCCGGGCAAGTAAAAAAACTTTTTTTAAAAGTATATGTGTAGGCTATATTTGGACCATAAGACGCAGGGACTTTCCCCCCCCACTTCTGGGGGAAAAAAAGTGCGTCTTATGGTCCGAAAAATACGGTAAATATCATGCTCATGATTCTGTTGAGTAAAACTTCCAAATCATTCTAAGTTACTTCTCCGTCACCAGAGGGAGCTCTAACCCAAGTAGCGCTTCAGCACTGAGAGAGTATTCTCACTATGGAAGAATCTGTTTTATATGAAACTTCCTGTGCACAACATCCAGCGTCCATGCGTACCAGCTTACACTCTGCAGGGCCTGGGCGGGTGTTACTGTCATCTCTTTCTATGTGATGAAAGGGCATCATTTACAGTCATTACTGGATATGTTTTCCAAACAAACAAAATACTCTCGAGGAGGATTATTATGCTCATTGCATTGTTAGTCAAAGAACCCCAAAACAATTCCTTAATATTTTATCCCAACTGGGAAGCACAGTCCGAAAATATGTAAAGATGACCTTTGCACTATCCGCTTTAAGCTCACTACAGATCCACAATCATTTATCTGAAAACCCTAAAGTGAGGAAAATTAGGAAATGCAGGACTGCTCAGATCTTAGGAAAGTAGTAGAGTACATACACGGTATATTACTCCCCAATGGGACCAGGGGCAGTACCATATAACTAAATACATGAACCTTTCTCTAAAAATATATGGCTACACGAAATAAGTTAAAGACTATAAATAGTCTCATATTGGGTGACTTCTTCTATTGCCCCTACCTAAAATAGTTTCGGTGCCAAACTTGGGCAAAAAATTTCTACAGTTTCAGAGCTTTAAAATTCTGGAAATGCAGAGAAGGGACTGTGAACTTGTATGGTGAGATACTTAAGTTCATGCTTACATGGTAAAGATTTTCTCTCTAAGGGTGTAATATAAATAACAACAACTGGTAAAGATAAATTTTAAAATTCAGTATTCAAAGGACACAAGCAAAATGAAGAAAAAGACCCAATTGGTCACGGAATAATTTTGAGTACCTTCTAACACAGAAGGTTAGATATGGGTGCCGGAGGTGACTGAGCTCAGCAAGGCTGACCACAGGAGGTGGCGGCCTCGCTCTCACTGACCTGGTGCACACAGATGTTACACTTGTCACAGAACACCATGTCATTCCCTTCTTCACTGTCAGGAGACCGGCACACATCACAGATCACATTTTCGTCATACTCTATGCCTAGCCCTTCCTCCGTGGCGATAGCATGTTTCATGTTTTCATGGCACTGACGTTCCAGGACTTCGATTGTCTTCTCCATCAGGTTTTCATCAACTTGCTCACATCCTGCACAGAAATACAAGCAATCAATCCACTTGCCAGCCAACTGGCATTCCCAATCACCCACTGTGAGCCCGGTGCAGGGGTGAGGAGATGGCAAAGGATCACTTACTAGAGCTACTCTCATACCTCTCTTCACATATTAGTGCTCAACACATGAAGGAGAAATGTATTTCACCATATTCCTTGTAAGGAATATTATTGACCCTTCTACATTTTCTATCGAAATCCTAGCTAGTCTCTTCCTAAATCTCTCTGCCTTTTCTCTTATTTCCAGTGAGGGAGGACTTCCACTGAGCTTTGTAATTTTGAACGTGTTAACTTGTAGCATTAGAAAATAATTAGAGTCACATAACTATTTAGATATAAATCAGCACTAGCAAATTAGTCCCAATGAGCACATCTAATGACTAAATAAGAACATTTTCATAAAAAAGGTATTAAGTCAGAAAAGAAAATTCTAGGTACTGTACATATGATTATACTAGAAATAATTCTCAAAAGGATCCAAACAAATTTACCCAAGTACTGTACTTAATTTGTAATAGAAAATATCCTAAAAACCCTGAAATTCCACATAAACTACCTTTTAATATTGTAACTACTTATAAAATAAAAAAAACCTACTCAGGTAGTTCATTTTTTTCAGCCAAGACCAATTACTCTGTTTTCCCTAGAGTGAAAGAGTTTGAGTGTCTGGTTATAAGAGCACTTGAATTCAAGTTCCAACTTGACCGCATATTGGTTGTGTAAACTTTGACAAGCTATGTATCTTCTTGAGGGCTTAGTGTTCTTATCTGTAGAATAAAGATAATGTCAAACTCACTGATTTCTTGTGAGGCTGAGATGAAGTAATACTAATACCCTACTTAGTCTAGTGCCTGGTGGTCTGTAGTAAGCACTCAATTTTTAAAATTCCTTAATCTGAGCCAAAAAAACGCTTAATTTAATGTTGTTTTCAAGGGTTTGTTTTTTTAGCTCTTATTAGCCTCACTACAATATCATTCACCCTAAAGGAATGCTTGAGATAAGGCAATTCTTTAAATCTCACCCAAGCCTAATTACAGTGTGGTATCCTGCATGGGATGGATCCTGGGACAGAAAAGGGCCATTAGTAAAAACACTGATGGAAACCCAACGAAGGCTGGAATTTAGTTAACAGCAATGTACCTGTGCTAGTTTCTCAGCTTTGACAACTGAGCCATGGTGAGTGAGATGTTAACATTAGGGGAAACGGAAACTGTGTGAGGGGTACACAGTAACTGTATTAAATGTACAGCTTTTCTGTAAATCTAAAGCTATACCTAAATAAAAAAGCATATTTAAACAAACTATCCAAAGAGAGTTAAGTGCACAATCCCAAAGGGATCTTGTCACAGGGTGACGTCACGGCGAAGGCAGCACCATAACGCTGTAATGTACATGGATGTTACATGGCCCATAAGCACCACACATCCAGCTGTCCATCCAGTTGATTACGCCCTCCACTCTGATTTTCCCTGTCAGTCTTTTATTTCCTTCTCTTCATGGTCTCCACCCCAAATTCCCCTCCCCTCCTCTCAGAAGGCAGAGTAAGAAAAGACATAAAACGAAGAGTTTTAAGAAGCAAGGAGTAAGTGTTGGTTACTGGTAGAATAGGTAACACCATTATGCCAAACTGGGTTAATACTGTTTTAATTTATTGTTCACATGCATTTGGAAGGAAGGAAGGAAGGAAGGAAGGAAGGAAGGAAGGAAGGAAGGAAGGAAAGGAAGGAAGGAAGGAAGGAAGGAAGGAAGGGAGGGAGGGAGGGAGGGAGGGAGGAAGGAAGGGAGGAAGGAAGGGAGGAAGGGAGGAAGAGAGGAGGACGGAGGGAAGAAAATGAACAAATGAGATGCCAACAAAAATGAAATCAAATGCATCCTTCACTGTACCTCACATGGAGGAATGAAAAAGCACCCCCGGTTCCACAGGACCTCTCGGACCTTAGGCACTGCTCGGGGTGAAGGCAGGTAAGAAAGAGTTGTATGTAAGTATGGAGGGAGCGTCCTTTCAGCCTAGTTTCCCAGAATTGCTGGGATGGCACAGTATGGCAGGCAGCCTCTCTGAAATCATTTTTATGCTTACTTCCAAGTTTTATTTTTGCTTCATTTTATTTTTGAGAATTGCATGAGAACTCTAGAACTCACTGGAGGTAGCTCACATCTGTTTTGGCAGAATGACAAGATCTGTATTAAGGTGTCGTGGTCACATCAGACTGTCAGTTGTGGTGGTGTTCATGCCAAAGCTGGAGCTTCTCCCCACGGGGAGGAGGTGGGAGGGGGCCGATACCTGCCCCGCTCAGTGATCTGAGTGCTTTTCAGGGTCGAGGGAGGAACCAGTCTCCAGATCCTTCTCAACCAGAAAGCCAATCACCAGTCAGCCATGGTCACGCTCACTCAGAACTGGGAAACCTACATGCCACCCTGTCTACGCTATTCGCCACGGATAAGGGCAGACAAGGTCCAATTGAAATGTTATTGCTCGATTTCAATCTATTTAAGCATTTCTAATGATGCCTCGTGAAGATAAAAATCAAGGAGAAAATGAACAAGAAGGCCAGCAAAGAAAGGAAGCCCCAAGATGAAAACGATTTCAATGGTTCTGACAACTTGAAAAAGAAATCGCATGTTGAATCAGGGAACAACTCAGTTGGGAGAAAACGGCTCACCCATCTGCTCGAGCTCTTCATTGAGGGACTGCAGCCAGAACATGTCCATATCGTCCAGGTCGTATCGGCACACGGCTGCCGCCTGCTCCGTGATGTTCACGTAGCCCAGCTCCGAGTCCTCGGAGTTGGAGGAATGGATGTACTTCCGGGGGCGGGTAAATAGAACATCCTCGACCTTATCGGCGATAATCCTAGAAAAGCGACAGACAGACACTGATAAAAATCAACAAATGACAGATGGCAGGCCGTGGCTGATGGGCCCAAAGGGACTCAGGCCACAGAGTGGGGTTCAATGCTCCCCGTCTACCCCGTGGAAATCCCCTGCTCTGCCCGCTGGGAGGAATGGCAGATCCCTTTCTAGGAAGCAAACGGTTCTACAAATTCCATTTTTCTCATCTCTGAACACTGACTGCCGATGAAATGCCTCCTTTATCCTCATGGCTCCCTGGTCCACAGTACCATTCGTTCTCATAAGATGCTGCATTTTGTGTTCTTGGTGCAATGGCCACCAAGTTTATTTAGAAGGGGAAACTGAGGAAGTGACATTCGCACAGAGGCACAGCCAGATTCCACACCAAAGATATATTTAAGCTCGTGCTTTTCTGCCATGGAGGCAATGCAGGATGGTAGTAAAGAGTGCGGCCTGCAGACTCATATAAGCCTGTTTTTCTTCTGCCACTCACATATGGCGATCTTGGGCAATTAATTTCTACACGATTCAGTTTCCTTAGCTAAAAAACCAGGGTGATAATCATAAATTATGATAAAATAATATCAAACTTTTAGGGCTCTTATGGTTAGTATATGAAATAAAATATATAAGTGCTCAGTATAGTGTATAGTAAAAAATAAAGGTTCAATGTCATTGTTTACCACCCCAAGTCAGGTCTCCTTCCATCATCATTTATCCCTATACTCTCTTCTACCTCCCCATACTGTTGTCTATGAATTTATTTCTTTATTTAATCCCTTCACCGTTTCCACCCCTACCCCCTCTGACACCTGTCAGTCTGCTCTCCGTTTATGAGTCTGAGTCTATTTTGTTTGTTTATTTTGTTCAATAGATTCTACATATGAGTGAAATCATATGGTGCTTGTCCTTTTCTGACTGGCTTATTCCAGTTAGCGAAATGCTATTCAGATGATGTATTATAGAATTGTGTACCAGAAACCTATATAATTTTATTAACCAATGTCACCTCAATAAATTAAATAAAATATGTCATTGTTATTGCTGTTATATTTATTCTCTTCACTATTTGTGCAGGTGAGTTTAAGTCAAGAGGCTGTGGACAGACACAAACTTAAGGTATTTCTCAGCCATAAATGCTAGTGACTAGAAGTCTGAGCCAGGGCCACACGATGGGAGTAAAGATTCCTGATCTTCCATCAACTTCTTCATAATCCAGAGCAAATCCGTATTTCCCCTTCCCCTTTCTAACACTTAAGAGCCTAAGGCAAGTAAATCAAGCAAGGGAACTAATAGAAGTTTCTCATACCAATGACCTATTGTACAACTGATGTCTTAGGTATGCATGAAGCACCAGAAAACATAACCAGCGGGAAATCTGAATGATTATTCTCTGGCTATTTTAAAGAACAGAGTGGGCCATTTAAAAAGAAAGAAAGAGATATGTATGTCATCATGAAATAATAAAAATTGTTTGTCTGGAGCCAGATTCTTTATTCTAGAGTTACTATATATGTAGGTAGACTCATAAACACAAATGTATTCATATGAAGACATATAAATATACAGGCCAAGTCCACTCTGTAAACACAGTAAATATTTCCTCCTAAGCATCCTTCCAAAAGCTTATGATTCCAAATAATATACGTTGAATAAAGGTGGTAACTACACACATTTGTATATGTTAATTTTTCTACCGTATAGAGTTCTTAAAGCCAAAGGGAACAGATATTGGAGGAAAAAATCAGAACCTGAGAGTATTAATTGAAGCTGAAAATTTGGAAACTGCTGCCAGAGGCCTGCTTCCAACTGAAATCAGCCCAACGGAAAAGGACAAGACCAGCGTAGGAATGCTCCAGAGACTGTGAGATTAAATATACTGTGAGATTAAATACGCTGTGCATTTTTGGTGCATGCCATATGAGGTAATTATAGAATATCTATTTTCCCCCCAAGATTCAGCTTTTTCTAAAAGGCAGAATATTTGATAACTATTCATCTCAATTGTCTCACATTTTATGTGAAATGAGGCAGACGATGTGTTTTAAAATTAAACTAATATGTTTAGTAAGCTTCTGGAAGAAAACAGGGGAATATCTTTTTGACTTTGGGATAGGCAACAATACTTTAAATAAGACAAAAGCCATTAACCATGAAGGAAGAAACTGGAAAACCTCTTTTTTTTTTTTTTTTTTTTTAACCAACTATACAGGGTGAAGCAAAGAATTCAAGAATAAACTTGGTGTTTTGCGTACTCAAAACTGTAAACCTACTTTTGCCCCATCCTGTATAGAACAAACTTCTACAACTCAATCAGAAAAAAAGACAGATAGTCCCATTAAAAACTGGGCAAAAAAACTTGATTAGATACTTGACAAATAAAGGCTCTCAACCTCATTAGTTATCACACAAATACAAATGGAAACCAATCACTATTACCCACCGGAATGGCTAGACTGACCAGAAACTGACAATCCCTTGTGCTCACAGGAAGTGGTGCAGACAGACCTCTCACAGGCTGCCCGTGCGAGTGTGACCTGGGACATCACTCTGCTAACCCATTTGGCAGCTGATATGATAGCTGTGCGTATATATATCCTATGACCTAGCAAACCCATTCTCAGGGATATACTTAACAAAAAAGTAAACACGTGTCTATTAAAAGGTGAAGAAAATGTCCATATTAGCATTTGTCATAAAAGCTGAAAACTGGAAGCAACCCAAATATCCACCAAGAGCAGGATGGGAAAAGAAAATGTGGGACAGTCACACAATGGAACATGACACAGAAGTGGAGCTTAGTGATCTACTGCATGCAACAGCATGGATGACTCTCACAGGCACAATGAGGACCGATGTGAAGTTCAAAAACTGGCAAAATGACCACCTATGTGCGGAGGTCCGTTAGTGGGCAGGAACGGAGAGAGGGCTTCTAGGCTGTTGGTACTGCTGTATTTTTTCATCTAGGTGGCAGTTAAATGAGCGTGTTTAATTCACGGAAAGTCACTGAGTTATACAGTTATACTTTGGTTACTTTTCTGGGTATATATTATACTTCAATGTAGAACTTTTCATAATGATAACAAATGATGTTATCTCGCTCGTCTTTTCATATGTGTATTTTCCTATGTCACTACTAAGGTCTGACTTAGAACTGAGTATATGGCAATAAAAAGATTATAGACCAAACCAGTTAACACCAAAGGCAAGGAAATGTGTGGGTAAAAGGTAAAGTTAATACACAGTCACAAGGAGACATTCTTGTATTTATAATGATAGACGGGAAAGTCTATGAGAATTAGTGACAAAAATATTATTTTGGAATTTAGAAAATGGAACTTTAGTACCAAGTAGGTTAATATGCTGAAATCCTAACTCCCAGGGTGACTGATTTGGACATGGGGCCTATAAGGAGACAAGGTGAAGTGAGGTTACAAGGGGGGGACCTAATCTGATAGGGCTGTTGTCCTTATAAGAGGAGGAAAAGAAGAAGAAGAAGAGATAGCAGATGTATCCATCCATCCCTTCCTTCCCCACCCCCGCCCTCTCTCTGCGTGCACACAAGGGGAAGGCCATGTGAGGATGCAGAGAGAATGCAGCTGTCTATCACTGGACACCAAGCCTGGTGGCAACTTGATCTTGGACTTGTTGCCTCCAAACTGGAGTTACATAGTGGTGGTAGTTTCATAACTCTGTGAGTATACCAAAAACCACCACACAATTTAAAAGACTGAATTTTATGGTATGTGAATTCTATATACATTATCTCTTTATGAAATCAAGCAGGACATTTATAAAAGCCCATGGTGGTCATGTGACAAACTTGGAACTTACAGAAGCCCTCCTACCTACTACTTTTCTATTTTGATTTACAATGTCACTCATTAGTTGTAGTGTATGTTTACTTACACTAAACTTTTTCAATCAAGTGAAAAAAATATTTTCTTTCCTAACATCTACCCATTTTCCAATTTGCTTCCTTTGTCTTATTCTTCTTATAATAAACTGTGTATTGGAAACCTACTATTTGACTAGTAGGGGTTTTGCAGTTAGGTAGCCTATAGTCACCTCTTATTGTCTTTTAAAAATTATATATATATAATTGATTTCAGAGAGGAAGGGAGAGAGAGATAGAAACATCAATGATGAGAGAGAATAACTAATCAGTTGCTTCCTGCATGCCCCCCCACTGGGGATCGAGCCCACAACCCAGGTGGTGCCCTGACCAGTTTGAACTATGACCTCCTGTTCATAGGTCAATGCTCAACCACTGAGCCATGCTGTTGTGTCTTTTTTAATGTGCCATAAATCACATTTTCCTATCTATATACTCCTTTATTTGTAGTTTACAGTTTATATACATATAATGAGTGTGTATAACATTAGTGGGGTATAAATGACATACGTGAAACTGCATGTATTTTAAATGTACAAATAAATAAGTTAGATCTGTAACCAACACCACAACCAAGATAATTAAAGTTTCCTTGTACCCTCCTGCTCCACTGTCTCCTTCCAGAAAACTACTGATGTGCTATCATTACAGATTACAATGTCCTTGTTTCTGCACAGTGGTATGGTACTGTAAAAATGACTGTGCAGCTGAAATTGTGAAAAGCAACCTGAATAATCAATGGAGAAAGTTATGATTGTTCAGTGATCCTTAAAATTTTTAAAAAATATATTAAAATTTTTTTTTTCCAGAACAAATGTTCTGCTGACATCCAAGGGACATGGACTCTCTGCTCCTGCTGGGCGAGCTGGGAGTTCTGGGTCCCCATGAAGCCTCCACTGATATCTCTCCCACTGGAAATGGAAAAAGCACCTTTCTACTGCTCCCTATGCGGCCTCCTCCACTGACACCACGGGAGGAGGTGGTACCCTCATTACCACTAGGCATGTGATTTCTGCCCTTTATGAACCTAATATGCACTAGAAATAGATGTACAATAAGATGTGTAATTTCTCATAGTATCCAAGAGGTCCCACCAACCCCTTTATCTGTTGCTATTTCCTTCCTTCCCTCTTTTCCATTGCTCGCTCGCTCTCACTCACTCACTCAAACTTATACCAAGCACTAGTGGCCCTGTGCCCGAATCCATGCGGAAGTAGTTCACTGCCACGCCTCAGATGGCCAACCTGCCCAGCGCTGCTCATAGCTCTCCACCGCACGTAGCTTGCTGCCCTGCCCTCCTGTAGCTCTCTGTTGCTGACAGCTCATTGCCCTGCCCTCCTGCTGATTGGTCATTATGTGACAGCATCCTGACCAATTTACATATTACCCTATTGTAAGTATAGATTTTGTTTCAAGCCAGCCTTTCTGCAAAGCACTAGGAACACAGAGATGAGTAATAAAAAGCGGCTCCCAAACCAGTCATTACTCTTGAGGAGTTGAACTTACTACTTCCTCTGGCAGAAAAGTCCTCTCTCCTTCCCACAAAACCAAAACCTCTTCTGCTCCAACTTTCTTCTCAAGTCTTTGCAAATGAAGGTCATGTGCTTACAGGCAACCCAACTGTTACAGCCACCCCCTTTCATGTGTGTTCATGCATTTTACAAGCTCTCTGTGTTTTGGCCTTCTATTTATAGATGTTATCACTATAAGGTCCTTCTATGATGAAACAAATTATCACGGGGTTATGTATTAATAGGGTTATTATGGGGTTATGTAATGAATGCTCTAATAAAGACTAATACATGCTACTGATTATTGAGTCAGACCTGTATACTCTGCCAGTAGTCTGAGTGGACTGGTGAACATGGTATGTGACTTAGTGTTATAATGTGGAATTAGCCACTCCAAGTCTCTCCCCAAGCAGCACACAGATAAACATAAGAACATTCGTTCCCTAAGTCAAAGATGCAAGCATGCAAATACCTGAGGGTTGGCTGTGGAAGTGTGTCCGGATTGGCTGGCACCTGGACTCCTTTTTCCCATTCTTCCTTCCATGTATCAGTAAAGATGTAATAGCTGTCAGGCTCAATGTATTGAGAATCCGAAACCTTCATGGCACTGATGAGGTCCTTCCGGAACACCTGGAAGAGTGCACACAGACTGAATGAACTAAAAATATTTACTGTTATTTTTAAAAGACCCACCAACTCTATACTTCAACAGAGAAGATATTTCTAACTTCCTAAATGGCCAGATCAACTCCTATTTGGAAGAGGTTTGAAGCATTGACCGGAAGCCAGTTTGCTCTGGATTTTATGAAGAGTAAACAAAGGGTTCCTTTCTGAATTATTTTCTTGGGTTCCTTGAATTTAAATGAACAATACAGGTTAATCTAAATAAAACAGTTTATATAAAACAAACCATAACTCTCTAAAGTTAAGCAACAAGTATCCCTCTGATAACTTACAATTTTTTATTTAGCCATTAGCGTATTTTTATTTATTTATTCAGAAATAATTTTAGACTAACAGAAAAGTTACAAAAATAGTACAAAGCTCCCATACACCCTTCACATAGTCTCTTTTAATGTTAACACCATATACAACAAGCATATAATTACCTAAACAAGAAAACCCACATTGTTACAACACTATTAATCTACAGACCTGATTAAAATTTTACTAATCCCACCTCCCCCATGTTCTTCCATTCCAGAATTCAACCAGGATCCCACATTGCAATTAGTTTTTATGTTTCCTTAGTATCCTCCAATTTGTGACAGTTTCTCAGTCCTTCCGACCTTGGCTTTTGAAGAATTCTGGTCATGTATTTGATAGAATGTCCCTACAATTTGGGTTTGTGTGATGTTCTCCTGTGATTAGATTGAAGAAACAGAGAGACTGGCTATAGTTCATTTTCTGCGTCCTAAGCACAACGAGGTACTGACAATAAGGGAATGAGGATCCAGCTCAACTCTGATGTACTATTGTCCTCTAGTTGAAAGGGCCCCCAGGTGACTAAGGGGCACAGAGATGTGCTCACCAGCCTGGAAACGTGACTTCAGTGGTGGTGGCACCTAAACTTTGTGATTTTGCCTTTTCAACAAGAGAAAGGGAAGTCTGGCTGAGTTCGTAAGTATGCCATTAGTCCTGCAACAATGTCAGCGATGAGTCCCAGTTAACATCTAAGCAACAAGGAAATACAATTTCACATAAAAGCAAGCATACACTGGTCCAAACCTCACCTACTCATTTCTCATTCTGAAAAAAAAAAAAAAAAGAAAGAAAGAAAAGAAAGAAAGAAAGAAAAAACTTGCAGGCTGAAGACAAATGTGCCCACATTTCTAGAAGATCAAAGGGGGAGATGCTATTGAGCGAACATTTTAGCCTTTAATGCTAATAAAGGTTCTCTGGGGAGAAACACTGTCCAGACCGTGTGTAACATGAAAGTAGAGGCACAGAGCATTTCCAACGAAGCAATTAAATCTCAGCTGGTACAGTTCTATTCAAACTGACATTTCACAGAGTATAGGATGAACTAGCACATAATCAAATGATGCCATTTAAATGAATGAGGACTCATTCCATTTGCTACTTTCCAGGGATGACTCTGCAAATACTTATTGGTTCCACTTAGGGAAGAACATCTGCATCTGGCCCTGGAGCCATATATGGCCCTGAGATCATCTGATCTGGTCCTGCCAAGGCATTAGGGGTGAGTTAATTAAACGATTGACGAAATATAGCAGGCTAATTTTTAAGCTGATAATTTTGTATGGCCTGCGAATCTATATATATAAAATGCTAAGTGTCTAACGGTCTGGCCGGTTGCTGACACGCACTGACCACCAGGGGGCAGATGCTCAACACAGGAGCTGCCATGATGTGCATTGGCCATATACAAAGAAATGGCACAGTGGTCCTGGCGCCCACAAAGCAACACTTGGCTTCCCCCACGTGGGACACAGGCCCTACCACCACCTCGGAGTGACACCCCACCAAATCATAGCCTACTCTGCCAATACGCCATGGTGCAAAATGCAGCAAACAGCCCAACCCAGCAACGGTTGCTGTGGACGCTGGGTAATGCTGTCACGTAGCAATGCCTGGCTTCCTCTCCCTAGAGACTAGCCTCATTGCAGTTTCTTCAGCCTAGGAACACAACTTGCTTTATAGTCAAACATTTCACACTTTAAGCAAATGTCTGTGAAGCGTTTTCCCGTGCCTCATCTCATTTGATCCTCACAGAAGTCCTGGAGTAGGTAGATAGAAGACTCAGTGGAATCCTATTTTCATTAGCAGGAAAACGGAGATTTAGAAAGTTTAGAAACTTGACCCGACTAAAAAGAAGTAAGAAATGGTGGACCTTGCAAATGACTTCAGGTTTTCTCACTGTGCAGAATATAGTCAAACACTGCTGCAGTTCAATATTTTACCCTTTGTTCTCCTTGTGTGATCTACAATAATAAATGTGCTTTGTGTTGATATTTACTGCTGTGTTGCTGACAATTACCTGAAAGAGAAGTTGGGATGCTTTACCAGGCTGGAAAAAGTTTAGCCAAATCAGAAAGCAGGTCTAATTAAGCAAGTTTATTCTATATATATAAAAGGCTAAGTTGACTCGCACATGCGCAATACATCTAAAGCTCTCAAAAACTCTTCACAGACATTTGGTTAAAGTGTGAAATGTTTGACTATAAAGCAAGCTGGTGCCAAATGCACGTGTGTGTTTCAATCTGCTATTGTCGATCATGAATTTGGTTGACACTTCTATTATAGAGAAAGGGCGAATAGTAATATTAAAATATTTCTTCTAATTAATTTCCTTTCAATGTGCACAAATTTGTGCACTGGGCCACTAGTGATGCTATAAATATCCAAATGACCCTTGGCAGATAAAAGGTTTCCCACTTCTGATTTAGAAGTAATAATATGACCTGAGCAAAGTAGAGAACACCAACCTTAAACATGGGTGGCCAGGTGGCAACAATATGACCTTCTTCTTTTTTAAAAAAAATATATATTTTATTGATTTTTAACAGAGAGGAAGAGAGAGGGATAGAGAGTTAGAAACATCGATGAGAGAGAATCATCGATCAGCTGCCTCTTGCACACCCCCTACCGGGGATGTGCCCGCAACTCAGGTACATGCCCTTGACCGGAATCGAACCTGGGACCTTTCAGTCCGCAGGCCAACGCTCTATCCACTGAGCCAAACCGGTTTCAGCAACAATATGACCTTTTTAACCAAGAATCCAAGCCAATTAAAGTTAATTGGGTGCTCTGCAGGGAGAAAATTAAGTCTACAGACAACAAAAACTGGTGATTTAATACATAATGCTTTGTATTAGGGGGTAAGAGAAGACCATAGACATAGCCATTTAACATGTTTTGCACAGAGCTCGGGTGGCTAGTGGAAAAAAGAGAATCAACCATTTTGCTGAACACTCTAAACTAAGGTGACCAGACGTCCCCAAAATCTAATGACTATGATAATCTTTCCCTTCTGCCTTTAGAGGGGAAAAAGCAGACTTATAAGCCTGATTTCAATTTCATAAGCTGACCAGATTAAATAGCACCAGATCCAAGGTTTCTAGAGAGGCATCTTTACACAGGCAGAGTCTGTCTTGTCTTACTATAGACGTCAAATATCTCAAGCATGATGCAGAACGTAACATGTTAAAGAGGAGATGGGAATGTGAGCTCAGTACTCAGGCAGATATCTTCAAAGTGATGTGAAATATACAGGGTGGGGCAAAAGTAGACTTACAGTTGCTCATATAAAATAATACAATAAGCCGAAGCTGGTTTGGCTCAGTGGATAGAGCGTCAGCCTGCGGACTGAAGGAAGGGTCCCAGGTTCGATTCCAGTCAAGGGCATGTACCTTGGTTGTGGGCATATCCCCAGTAGGGGACGTGCAAGAGGCAGCTGATCGATGACTCTCTCTCATCGATGTTTCTAACTCTATCTCTCTCCCTTCCTCTCTGTAAAAAAATCAATAAAATATATATAAAAAATAAAATAATACAATAAGCAATAATGTAAGAATAAATTGTGTTTTGCGTATTCACACCTGTACACTACTTTTGCTCCAACCCTGTATTCGCTAGACTGGTTCCATGGATCTGCTTCTGATAAGAAAAGGTATTTTTAAAATATATTTTATTGATTGTCGGTTATGAAGTGGCCTAAAGGTTAGTTCCCAGGGGAGGGGTATCGATTCAATGATCTGATCAGACCTAACACAGAGACTTCACAAAATAAAACATGGCTATCTGTTGCTAAATTAAAGATTATGAATGACTTGCTTCTAACCTAGTCCTAGGTAATGAAGTTGAGAAGTTTTACACGTTCTTAATTGTGTGCCTATTTTACATGCACTGGTAGTTTCCCCAAAAGTTCCTGAAACAAAAAGACTTTATACTTACCAGATAACTGCTCATTTATGGTCAAAGAGGGGATTCACAGGCTAACATACAGCCCAGAAACTATGCCAAATCCAACAGTGCATGCACATCTTGGCCTCTCAGATGCTCGCAGAAACAAAGGAGGCCTCACTATGAATTCAATTAGAATATCAATGCTTAACCTGCCAGAGCCACTAAATGAAAATGTCCTTTTACTGCTCCATTAACATCTCTCAGTGGGCAGTTTCTTAAAGCACAGCTAGACTGAACATTTCTGTGACTTTTTTTGAGAGGAAAAGCCAAACATTTACTTCCTGTATGACACAAAGGGGAACACTGTCTGGTCCTTGTGAACGAATCAGAAAGAGATTGATCAGTTTTGGTGCATAGCCACTTAAATCCGAAACCGTACATAAGTGACCACGAACAGATGTGTCACCCCCAAGCACTAAAAAAACAGCTGCAAACACGGTAACTATATTTAACTAAAAAGAGTTAACTTTAAGCGATTTTCTTAGAACTATACAATCTTAAGGCAAGATTTTCAGGTTCTCTAGAAGAATCGATCGCTCAGACTTGAGAGAACCTAAAAAGAATACAAGCTTATTCTCATAGGTAACAAAGGCACCAAGATCCGCAAGACATTATGTCACACACTGATTTTTCCAATGCGGCAAAGCATATGCAATTTCTAAGTTTAAAAAACTTTAAAAATGATGCAAATATTTTTCATGGAAATGGTTTTCAAATAGTTGAATTCTCAAGTTTCTTATAAAAAAATAAATGGGACATGTTTGATAGCTATGGGCTGACATTAACTGGAACATCAATTGCAGGAAGCAATGTACTGGGGTTGCATGGTAGGTTTGGGTATTCCTCCTACCCCGTAACAAACAGAGTTGTATACATCTTGGTAGTGGAAGAGAGGGGGCAATTGAGTCTGACTTGGAGATCTGGGCAATTTTCACAAAAGAGATGACATGAGGTTTGCTTTGCGAGTTTTTTTCCATCCTTCAATGTCCCTTCTTGTGCAATAAGTGAGCGTTTGCAAGCTTAGTGCCTTTTATCTGCTGCAGGCCAGAAAACAACACAATCTAGCTTGTTAGAAAAACAGATAAAGTTATGTAAACAGGCTCTGTTTGAGGGTGTTGCAGTGTTTTCTGCTGAGTTAAAATATATGAGCTTTCACTCTGCTGTTATGAAAGTTTGGGACATCAGAAGTGAGACTCTGAGCTTACAGATGATATGCAGCCAGTCCTTTAAGAGGTTAATATTTTTTTATAGACCAGCAACACTAATAGGTGAAAATATCCTGGCTTCTGAGAAAGAATGGAAAATTTCTTAATAAAGTCAAATTGGTCATATAGTACTATGTGTTTTAGGGCAACTAGCTTTTTAAAAACATCTTTAATAGCATGTGCCCCTTTTTAAAAATATGTTTTTAATGATTTTTTTAGAGAGAGAGAAGAAAGGAGAGGGAGGGAGGGAGGGAGGGAGAGAGAAAGAGAAAGAGACACATCCATGAGAGAGAAACATTGATCAGCTGCTTCCTGCACACCCCCTACTGGGAATTGAATCCACAAACCTGGCATGTGCCTTGACCAGGAACCAAACTGTAGCCTGCTGGTTCATGGGTCAATGCTCAACCACTGAGCCACACTGGCCAGAAAGCATGGGCCCTTTTGAGAATTGGAGTGTAAACTGATGAAACCTATTTGGGCAAAAATCTGGCATTCCCTCATATGGTTAAATAAGTTTACCATATAGTCCATGGCTATATTCCTCACCTAGGTGTTACTCAAGACAACTGAAAACATCATGTCCACATAAAAGCTTGTACATGAATGCTCATGGCAATATTATTTGTAACAATTTAAAAATGGAGACAATCCAATTGTTCACCAACTAATGAATAGATAAACAAAATTGATATATCCATACAGTGGAATATCATTCAGTAATAAAAAGATGAAGTATTGATACATGCTAAAACATGGATGAAACCCAAAAATGTTATCCTGAATGAAAGAAGCTAGACACAAAAGGTTATATATTATGATTCCATTTATATAAAATATCCAGAATAGGCAAACCCATAGACAGAAATTAGGTTACTGGTTGGCAGGGGCTGGTAGTAGGAGTTGGGGAATCACTACCAATGGGTAAGAGGGTTGCTTTCTGGGGGGAAGAAAAGGTTTAAACTTGGATTGTGCCAATGGTTACGTAGCTCTGTGAATATATTAAAACCTACTGAATTATACACTTTAAATGGCTAAATTGTACGGTGTGAGAATTATATTTTTAAAAAGATGTTTAAACATTTTATTTAAAAAGGAGATTGTTGGGGTGTCCGTGGACATTACCTGAGAGCCTTGCCATGCACTTGCACCCCGTAATCACAAGGTGACCCCCTCCTCAAGGTGGTATCAGCAGAGACTGAGTAGAGACTGACCGTCACTATAGCCCATCAGCAACGGGGTCCCCTTCCCACCGCAGCACCACCGTTATCAGGCAGGCAACAAGGAGTAAGGAAAGTTATGAGTAACCCTCCCCTTTCCCAGAGAGATAAGAGAGAGAGGGGAACAGCCTAGCAATTCTGCAGCTGGTGATAGGTCAGCACCCTCTTCCCCACCGGCCTGGTTATTATGGAGGCCGGAGGAAACAGGTTTAAATAAGACTTAGTGTCGGATTACATAATTCCCCCAAAGTCCAGGATACAATGGAAAGTCATTCATCAAACGAAGAAGTGGGAATGAGAAGAGACAATAGACACTCACAGCAAGATGCCACAGATGTTAGAATTATCTGACAGGAATTGTTAAAGCACCCATCATAAAAATGCTTCAGTGAGAAATTACAAACACTTTTGTGAAATGAATAAATTGAAAGTTTCAACAAAGATATAGAGGATATAAAGAATAACCAAATGAAAAGTTTGAAATGGAATAATTTAATAACTCAAACTCAGGGGAGAGGCTCAATAGAAGAATGGAATGAACAGAATAAAGAATAAGGGAAGAAGAAAAATTACCCAATCTGATCAACAGAAAGAATATACACTGAAAAAAATCCTGGAGTCTGAGGGACCTGTGGGAAAATAACAAAAGAGATAACATTCACGAAATTGAAGTCCCAAGAAAAGGAGGACAAAGAAGGTGGAACTGAAAAGAATAGTTGAAGAGATAATGGCTGAAAAGTTCCCAAACTTTACATAAGATATAAGCCTAGACTTAAGAAGCTGATCAAACACCAAACAGGATAAACCAAAACAAATCTATGCCCAAGAATACAGCAATCTAACTTTGGAAAACAAAAGACAAAGACAAATCTTGAAAGCATCTAGAAATGATGTGACTGATTACCTGCAAGGGAGCAACTATTTGAATGACAGCAGACTTCTCAAATGCTGAAAGAAAAGTGTTGTTGAAGCAGAATTCTATATCAGTAAAAATATCCTTCAGAAATGTTGGTGAAACCTAGACATTCTCAAATAAAATGAAATTAAAAGAATTTATCACTAGAAGACTTACCCTAAAAGAGTGGCTAAAAGAAATTCTTCAAACAGAAGGTAAATGAACAAAAGAAAAGTTGGAACAGGGATAAAGCAATAGACTATCCTCTTCTTGAGTTTTATAAATAATTTTTGATGGTGGAAACAAATATTCCAACGCTATCTAATGTAATTCTCAGTGTATGTACAGAAAATATTTAAAACAAGTATATACTAAAGGCAGGGGTGTAAATGAACCTAAATGGTGGTAAAATTTCTATATTGTTCTATGATATCTGGTTCTCGGTTTTATAAGCATGTGAAATATAAATGAAAAAAACTTGCTCCCAGGCGCTCAATTCCCCTTAAGGCCTTGCAATAAAAGATTTATTCTCACTGATCTAGAGGCAACAGGTCTTAAGAACCAAAGCTCTTCAGCCCCTCTATGTTCTAGGACTGGCTGTCCTAAAAAGGAAAGTAGCAAGGTTTCTTGGTCATCATTCTGTAGTCAAGGTCTCCTTTGAATAGATGGGAAATTTATTCTGCTCCTGTTTATGTGCATTTTTTCATGAGTGTTTCTGTATGACACACACATGTAGAAACACACTCTGATATTCTACGGAGCCTAGAAAGATCCCTGCAAAAGATGAAAGTGGAAAGTGACCTCTGAGAAAGGAAGAGATGTTCACTCTGGCTTACACCCTAAAGCAATGTTCCCCATTCCCCCATAGTGGGGCAGGTAGAACCTGTGACTTGCCTCTAACCAATAGATTGTAACAAATGGGATGGGATGTCACGCACATGATCATGTGATGTTATGTAAGACTCAGTCTTAGCAGACTGGAGCAAAACACTTTCCCCTTGCTGGCTTTGTTTTGAGAGGATCTATGGAGAAGGCCACATGGCAAGTAACTATAAGCAGTATCCAGGAGTGGAGGGTAGTCCTCTGCCAAAGGCCAGTAAAATAAACCAGAGACCTGAGTCCTCCAACTACAGAGATATTAATTCTCCAAACCATCTGAGAGAGCTTGGAAGCAAATTCTTCCCTAGTTAAACCTCCAGATGAGAACACAGCCCAGCCAGCACACAGACTACAGCCTTAAAGACCTTGAAGAGAGAAGCTAGGCACACTGTGCCGACTCCCGACCCACAGACACTGAGATAGTAATACATGTGTCCTGCTTTAAGCCACTAGTTTTGCGATAATGTGTAATGCAGCAATAGTTAACTAACACACCCTCTTTTCCTTTGCAGCCAAAGAAGTCTACTCGTAGAAGAAGTGAAGATATGCAGGTCAATTTCTCATTGAATTATCACAGAGGAGAAGTCTACAGGATCCACTAACCCATTACCAAGTACAGCTCTGGCACTTTCCTGCCCTTGGGGCAGAACATGACCAAACCCACCAGGGCTGCAGTGCTCTGAAGGCTGTGAGGACCCATCACAGCCCAGATCTCCAACCTGGTCGGTCCTTCCCTTCTCCACCCACAAGTTCCTCTTCTGTCCCTTCCTGCCCTGCCTCCCATCTACCAACTCAGCTTTTCCCAGTCATAGGCCAGAGCTTTGGTCCTTCCGAATTCCCCAAGTCTAGTTCCCTTTGACTTCTTGGCTAAGGGGAGGCTTTATATTCTAAATTGCCAAAATGAAATCACAGTGTGATTGCTGTTTCCCCAAGGGGTAAAAGGAAATGGAATCTTTCTTGAAAAACAAAACAAAAACTCATCAGAAAGAAGCCTATCCATGGGCACATCATTTACTCCTTTCATCTCCAAGACCTGGTTATTGTAGGGATGTAGACAGAAGGCAGCTGTCTTTTTTTTTAAGTCTAAAAATTGAATATCTGATCTCACCTCTGCAGATTTCTCGTGTGCATTTGGAACTTTTGACTTGTTCCTATACCTTGAGCCAATAAAAGAAGTAGAAGCACCTGCAAAAAATAATTAGAAAAAATACTGAGACTTATTACCTGCTAATATAACTAGATGCCCTATAACTAAATGTCATCCAAGAGAATATGAAAGATATGATGGAGAAGAACATAGTAATCTCATATATAACAATGAAGAAAGTTAAATTACAACCAAAAAAGCCCCATAATGGAGTTTAATGACGTTTATAGGTGACCTCTCAGTGTGCAAAAGCTTCAACAATACTTAACACGGAAGAGATTTGATTTGGTATAATCATACATTATAATATTTTGGAATAACATGATTCTGCAAAAGCAACTGGACAAACTAAAAATGTAGAACAAATACTGTATATGTCCTTCAGCACTTCCCCAAATGCTACTGTTAATAAGGTTGTTGCCTTTTACAAATGATGACTCATCCAGTCAAACATTTAGTACCTGAGGTATAACTAGAATTGTAGGGCCTATAATTTATGCTCTTGCACTTTTCTTCCTTTCTAGAAAAGCATTGTTAAATCATTATTAGATATGACATTTCTTTAGGGTAGTGAAAAGTAAGAAACTAATGCTATATGCCATACAAAACCAATTTTTCCAACTAATTTATTAATTTCTAATGGAATTTAAATGAATAAACAAATAGTGCCCCAAGCTTTCTTTCCTTAAAACATTATTTTTTTAACCACTGAAGGAAGGATGAAACAGGGAGTCAGTCCTCAATTCAAAGAAGAAATCCTTAAGGAGAATAGATACAGGGGTTATCACTATTGGCTGGTTCTACTCACTGTCTGAACTGTCACTGGTGCTGAAAGTTCTACAACGACGACGCTTCATTTTGTAGCATCCTGGGAAAGAGAACAACACTGAATGAAACGGTCAAAACACACACACACACACACACACACACACACACACCAAAAGACAATCAACACTTTCCTCCAGATCCCAAGCAGCAGCAGCAGCAGCAGCAGCAGGCCAATCATACAAATCAAATGATTTTTGCCAAGAACATTCTCCAAGGATCTGGAGTGAAGAGAGAAGAATACACCAAACTCTCTAACACAGTGTGTGTCAAAGATGGGGTGAGGACAGACATTAGCCTTAGGAGGAAGTCCATGCAGCAGAGGATGACTAGCACAGGATTGGCCACATGACCATGTCCATCCAAACAGAGGGGGCAGGCATGGGGCCCTCACAAGCCAGGAGAGCAGAAAGGGAAAAGGCAGTAGCAAAGGCAGAACTGTCAGGAGCCAGGGCTGAAAGGCATGGGGCATGACTGGCTGAAGAAAGAATGAGTGAGGTATGGCCCATCTTGAAGAGCACAGCCACCCTGTTCTTCTGCCTGCCTTTTCTCCCTCTGTCTCGCTTATCCCCCAAACAACTAGCCAAATTTAAAGTCACACCTGCTTATGTACTGCAAGGAATGTTATGGAAAGCTCTATATTGTTCAAATACATGATGCTTTTGACTAAAATTTCAATTGGGACAAGTGTCTTTCCTTGTGTGTGTAGCCAATGGCAGATAAAAAAGTGGCCCCATCTTCCTGGAAACACTGCAGCACCAGAATGTAGGAAAAAAGGAGGCACAGGTACACTAAGGCACAAAGGGAGTGCTCAAAATATAAACTAGAAACGACAGTCATATAGTCAGTAACTGACATGCTACCGTGTTTCCCTGAAAATAAGACATCCTCCGAAAATAAGACCTAGCGCATGGAAAGATAAGACATCCCCTGAAAATAAGACCTAGCGCAACTTTGGGAGAAAAAAATTAATATAAGACACTGTCTTATTTTCGGGGAAACAGGGTCTTAGGGGCCACAGTACACAAAATGCTTCCAGGCCAATCATGATTCCACAAGGGATAATGGTCATGGCTACTGCCTTTGAGCCACTCAGGATCTACTAGGGAAACGGATTGCTCACAAGGCCACTGTAAGCAATTAGGAGTAACGGGAACAAAACTACCTGTTATAAAGCTAACAGAGTTCCACTCCTGGCATGACAATGTGAAGAGCTACATTGACCCAATCCTCGGGGAAACCGGTGAGAATAATGTTAAAACAAACAAAAAGCCCCCCACCCATTTAAAATCTAAGCTCATACAGCAAATGGAGAAGCATTTATCAAAGGAAACCTACTAAAACTCAGTAAGAGTCTATAGCAGTGGTCGGCAAACTCATTAGTCAACAGAGCCAAATTTCAACAGATTGAAATTTCTTTTGAAAGTCAAGTTTTTTAAACTTCAACTTCTAACGCCATTTCTTCAAAATAGACTCGCCCAGGCTGTGGTATTTTGTGGAAGAGCCACACTCAAGAGGCCAAAGAGCCGCATGTGGCTTGCGAGCCGCAGTTTGCTGACCACTGGTCTATAGGATTTGGGCCTAGGCCCATTCCCTTTATCCTCCATCCCGGCACAGATGTCAGTCACACCAGACTGGTACATCTAAGAACACAGCTCCCTTTGCCCAGCTCCCAGCTGCAAGGCTTTCTTCCTGGGAGGACATTGGCATTTCTCATCCTGTCCCAGCTACCTGTTGCTAAGGCTAAGTTCCAGAAGAGTGTGGCTGAGAGGTGAGGGCTCTCTTCTCGGTGGCCCCCACTCCTGGGATGGAGGCCATGCCTTGGGTATGGTAGAGGCAAACCTAGGAGGCCTGGGGATGCCACGCAGAGGGAAGTACACAATTGTCCCCAACCCCCTGTACTAGAGCTGTGGCTCAGAGATTTTTGTCTAGTGGGGGAAGCAGGTCATAGAATAGAGAGCTCCAAATCTCCCCCCAGAGGTGGTTACTTCATTTGTAACGGAGTGGGGAAAAGTTGTTCATGTGTACATTGGCTAGCATGCTGGACAGAATCAGGGAAATGCAGATTTGGAAGGAACCCTTCTGAGTTCTGAAGAAATCTCAAACACTGATCTTGGGAACTATCCCTTCAAAGGAGCCCTAATTTGAATGGACTAGTTTGTGGAGCAATTTATGCCCCTGGGCTTTATTAAAAACAACAGAGCAATCAGCCAGCAATTAGTGACAAGGTAATAGCTGGGTGTGGTCAGGGAGAGAGAGAGAAAAAAAAATACTACCACTGCAGGGTAGCTGTGGGCACACCAAAGGCTGTACTTTTAAGAACCAACAAGACTCACACTGCAGGGCAAAAGGGAGGAGTAAATAGACTTCAATAAAAATAATCCGATAGTCACTAAAGTAAAGAAGGAAATAATAATAAAGAGCCCAGGGAGGGGGGGGGTGCCAATATCTAGAGTTACTACATTAAACTATCTAAAAAGTCCAGTTCCCAACAAAAAATGAGATATGAAAATAGGAAAGTATGACCTATACACTAGCCAAAAAACAAGTGACAGAAAATGCTTGTGAGAACAAACACGTCAGATTTAATAGCAAAGACTTCAAATTAATCATATAAATATGTTCAGAGAACTACAAAAAACAAAACAAAAAACAAACACGATTAAAGAAATAAAGGAGGGAAAAAAAGAAATAAAGGAAGGTAACTAGCTGGCGTGACTTATTGGTGAGCGTTGACCTATGAATCAGGAGGTCATGTTCAATTCCCCATCAGGGCACATGCCTGGGTTGTGGGCTCCATCCCGAGTGTGGAGCGTGCAGGAGGCAGTTGATCAATGATTCTCATCATTGATGTTTCTCTTGCTCCCTCTCCCTTCCTCTCTGAAATCAATAAAAATATTAAAATTTTTTTTTATCAGACAGAGTTCAAAATAATGGTGGCCAAGATGCTCAACAGCTGCAATGTTGCCTCTTATAAGCCCAGTTCCTCTGCATGACCTTCCAGGCCTAGAGTATTCTGGCTCCAATCTGTCAGGCCTCATCAGTTGTTGCTTTTCTGCCTCCTGCACATGCTCTGCCCTGGGTGAGTCCATGAACACACCATCTTGTTTCATACTTGCCAATCTTGGCACGGGGCTCTTCTGTCTATATTCCCTTCCTGTTTATCTTGGCCAGCCCCTCTCCCTCCCCCATCCGGTCCTACCAATTTGTGGGATCTCCTCAATGAAGCCCCCTGGGTGCCCCTCTCACACAATCATTCACTCTTTCACTTTCTGCCCAGATCTGACCGTTAGAAAGTAACCGACTTGCACTATAAACATTCTTTACACGGTCAGTCCTGCCGCTAGACGACAAACTTCTTGAAAGCTGGGACTATGTCACATTCACCTCTTCCACCTCCAGGTCTTACTACCGAGTTCTGCACAGAATAAGCATCGGAAGAGTAATAGACGCCACGGTGCACCACCTGTCTCTTGTACCCAGGAAGGTAGGACCCATCTCCCTGCACCTACCTGTTGGAGCCAATGGCTCACAGCTGTCCCTCTCCTAAGGCTTAAGCGCTGGAGGCCTGTCAGGGAGGTTACGCACTGCCTTCTCCCAGGGACAGCCAGGACCCAATAACTGTCCTACAGCCCTCCAAGCCAAACAGGCTAACACTAGCCTTCCCTAAGAGGGTATCCTTCCTCTTCCCCACCCTTCTGTCCTCACTTCCCGATGGGTTTCTCCTCAGAGCGCTCCCTCAGTGTGCCATGTTTCCGGTTCTGCTTCTAGGCACCCCTCCTTAAGCCAACATGTTAATCTTCAGAAAGTGGCATGTTTTCAAAGTAGAGAGTTTTCATTACGCAAAATTATAAATAAGTACAGTGTAATCTCGGAGTAACTTCATGATGTGCCTTAATGTCTCACATTTGGATGTACAATACTGTTCAGCTGCTTATTTTCTAGTTCTGTGTTCAGGGTATAGACATCATAAAGGCATTCTTTCCTTCCTTACCTCCAAAAGTGAGTTTTGGCAGAAATGAACTGTGCATCAGACCTCGCTTTGCACCCTTGGGGACAGTAATTTGATGGCAGTTTTCAGATCTCATTCCCACTATAACCTCAATCAAAATGACTAACAGCAGGCTGATTGACTTTAACTTTGATTGTAAGCCAGGCAAACACATATGCATAAAGGAGATGCCTTCCTTGGGTGAAACTCTTTTCTCCTTTTTAAAAATACATTTTTTATTGATGTCAGAGAGGAAGGGAGAGGGGGAGAGAGAGAGAAACATCATTGATGAGAGGGAATCATCGGTTGCCTCCTGCACGCCCCCCACTGGAGATTGAACCTGCAACCCGAGCATGTGCCCGTAACCGGATCCAAACCCTGGCCCCTTCAGCCCACAGGCCAACACTCTATCCACTGAGCCACACCGGCCAGGGCTGAAACTCTCTTTTAAAGGAGCACTGCCTGGAATCCGACTCAATGGGGTTATTTGGAATCGAAGGCTGCACTTTGGTGGCTACTTGACTGTCCAGTAATATTCCCACAGAAGAGAGGCAGGCAAGGAAAAGTGATTAAGTCCAACCCAGCCCTTTTCTCCCCCCGCCCCCCTAGAAGCCCAGGAGACACACTGCTGCAATGCAGCGCCAATGCAAGAGCCCGCGCACTGCTCTCCGCGGGGCCAGGCAGCAGCTGAAAATAACGTAAGGCTCTGCTTTAAACATATGTATGCCCTTTGACCCGGGAGTTCTTCCAACATTCATCTCTGAAAATAAAGCCGAAACACAGAACATAACTTAGGAACAAAAATGCCCATGGTAACTCCATAATAAAAATAACAAATGAAACCTAGCTATCGAACAAAGGAGAAATAATGGAAGTATATTAATATTATGGTATTTCATTCAATCATTTAAACAGGGTATCCAGGAAAACATTTACGTTAAAACGTTAAGTGGATAAAACAGTATAAAAATTGATTTTATAATGACATTGCATCTATGAAATAAAATATACAGAAAACAGATGAAGGCCATAAACCAATTTACTAACATCAG